GCCCCCCACCTAAACGCCTGAGAGCACGTAAAATTCTCTCCGCCTGTTATTGCAACGGACAGGTCCGCGCGCTTGTTAGGAAACGTGGGCGACAAACCGTGATGCCAATCGGCTGCTTCCTCACATTTTTAAAATTATCATAATTCTCTGGCATATGGATAAAGCCTGTAAACTTTAGTGATTTTTCTAGAATAGTGTCAAGCCTTCCCGAAATCTTAGATGCTAAATAGCGTTTGAAAAAATCCGGAAGCGGCCGAAACAGATCAAATCCGGCGCACGCTTTTTCGTGTGGACGGATAAAAACGAGCGTATGCCGCATATTACCAGCATCAGAACATCTGTAAGCATTATTAAGCGAGAGCGAGAAAACAAACATTGTATAGTCCAGTTAGGGTCACACCAGTACTCGCGTAACAGCTCCGGGAAGACGGTTTTATTTGTGTTTCCTTGAGGGGTGCGCGCACGCACGCGCTTACAAAAGACAAAAACATGGGCGCACGGACGCACGCAGATGCAATCAACGCGAAGAGAAACCCTCCCGTGGCAGAATAGCACAGTGGCAAAACGACACCTTCCCCGGCCCCCCACACACAATGACACACACACACACACACCGAAAGGAGGAGTCGCCGCGCCGCGCCGCGTAAACGGAACCCCACGGCCGTGAGGAGGCTCAAACGTCTGCCGCGCACAGACAAAGCCCCCCTAATGGTCGCTGAGCTGCACGTGTACTACGCGACGAGGGTACGCACGCCCGCGGTATCGGGGCAGAGGAGCGGAGGCCCGCCAAACTCGGAGTCGCCGCTGAGTCTGTGCCGGTCCAAGCTCCACACGTAACCCGTAACAAAAAAGAACAAGTCACAACGAGTCGACAAAGGACGTAAGGAAAAACCCGAACAGCGAACTTTTCCCTACACTTGGCAAGGTCAAACTTTGTAGCTACAGGTTGCCTCAAGCTTGAAACACAAAAGCTTACCCCAAGCTTGAAACACAAAAGCACTAATCACAAACGAGCGTGTTCGGGACGAATTAAGCAAGTGCTTATACTTCCTTTACACGTCTAAGAAACTAGGGAGTTTTGTTTGTTGTTCCAATAATTCCTGTAAGGATACTCGATACTCCTCTGTCGTTTTTGTGCATGCATAGTATCGTTGTTGGGTATCGTTACCGAGCACAAAAACCGTCTACAAGAACTCCCTACCGTTTATCGTTTTTCTAGTGAAATTAAAGACGACGTTAGCAAGGAGAAGCAAGCTAACTAACCTCGAAGGGAAGGGAAACAGAGGTCGTCTTCGCTCCCTCAGCTCCCCTTGATAACCGGTGATTTCTTCAAGCAGACAGAGCCAGTGGGGACGCCTTCAGCGAACATCAAACAGTCTTTGAGATGAATAGAGGCAGGTTCTTAATTTTGTTTTTGTTTCAAAAGAAGGGTCATTTTGAAACAAGGTCTGGTGGGAAATGCAAGATGGGAGGACGGGTAAACAGCTCGTCCACACTTCTAGACGGGGAACAGAGCCTGTCAGAAAAACTGGACATCGCCGGCTCGTCTGACAAAAAGGTGCAATGCCAGGCTCTAAAGAGCGTTGGAAAGTAAAAGCTCTTTGAGTGAACCGACGATACGTGCCCCAGAACAGCACAGCGACGTGCATGAAAAAAGTTTAAAGGAACGCGGCAAGCCCGGTTCAATAGTTTTCCATGTTTAAAAAATAACAGGCTTATTCAGCTCTTTGCGCACCTCGTGTGTTTGTTTACCCCTCAGACGCTCTGATGTACCGCTATTTACACCTCGTTTTGACCAATGACGGCGCGCGCTTTTCTGTCTCGTCTTCGCGCGTTGTGTGCGCGCCCTTTATGTTTCCCGCTAATTGTTGTGATATTCTTCGTATTTACTTCTTTTCAATGGGTCACGATAACGTTCGGAAGCGCGGAAGACACGTGTTGGTACCCCTACTTGCACGTCGTATAAACACTTACTTCGAATTTGACTTCGACCTCGACCACGCACCTTGTTTTTCATTGGTAGCCTGCTTGCAACAGAAGGATGACGGTGATGACAACGCAATCGTGGTTTGCTTGTGGTCCTGTGTGATGGGCTCTCACTTCCGATCGAAGTGAGAGCCATTCGTATCGCTCCGACGCTGTTGAAAAAACTCAGCAGACCTTTGAATGAGTCACTTGCTCAGGAAAATAACGAGGAGACGAATGTCTAAGCGCTTATGTAAGAAGAGTGGTCTCGATTTCAAATGAAAAGCACTCCAGCAAAATGTGGCCGATATGGTTCGTATGCAAAACTAACTAGCATAAAAAAATAGATAAATTCAGAAATGGGGACGGACTATCTGCCTCCCCCTTTGGAAAAGATTTATGTCATTTTATCAAGAATCTTTGAACACTCGTACTCCGCCTTCGCGTTCGAAGTGCTGTTCACGGAGTAAGGCTAGGCTGCTTAGTGGATTGAGTTTCGCCTGTGTTCGTCGCATATTTTTTGATGGGGTCCGGCTTTTACAGACAAGTATCGTGCCAGTAGCTGACTTTTGCTCAAATAAACAGAAACAAAAACCTCTTCAGTCAATATTCACGTTCAACGGAGATCGAAGAACTCTGTTCGTATTCCTAGAATTCAAGAACCCAGGCATATGCACGACTGTGATGAAAACTATTATCGGCAACAGCAAGCGAAGCCCCCCACCTAAACGCCTGAGAGCACGTAAAATTCTCTCCGCCTGTTATTGCAACGGACAGGTCCGCGCGCTTGTTAGGAAACGTGGGCGACAAACCGTGATGCCAATCGGCTGCTTCCTCACATTTTTAAAATTATCATAATTCTCTGGCATATGGATAAAGCCCGTAAACTTTAGTGATTTTTCTAGAATAGTGTCAAGCCTTCCCGAAATCTTAGATGCTAAATAGCGTTTGAAAAAATCCGGAAGCGGCCGAAACAGATCAAATCCGGCGCACGCTTTTTCGTGTGGACGGATAAAAACGAGCGTATGCCGCATATTACCAGCATCAGAACATCTGTAAGCATTATTAAGCGAGAGCGAGAAAACAAACATTGTATAGTCCAGTTAGGGTCACACCAGTACTCGCGTAACAGCTCCGGGAAGACGGTTTTATTTGTGTTTCCTTGAGGGGTGCGCGCACGCACGCGCTTACAAAAGACAAAAACATGGGCGCACGGACGCACGCAGATGCAATCAACGCGAAGAGAAACCCTCCCGTGGCAGAATAGCACAGTGGCAAAACGACACCTTCCCCGGCCCCCCACACACAATGACACACACACACACACACACCGAAAGGAGGAGTCGCCGCGCCGCGCCGCGTAAACGGAACCCCACGGCCGTGAGGAGGCTCAAACGTCTGCCGCGCACAGACAAAGCCCCCCTAATGGTCGCTGAGCTGCACGTGTACTACGCGACGAGGGTACGCACGCCCGCGGTATCGGGGCAGAGGAGCGGAGGCCCGCCAAACTCGGAGTCGCCGCTGAGTCTGTGCCGGTCCAAGCTTCCCCCCCCCCCCCCCCCCCCTCCCCCCCAATCCCCATCTGGGAAGCGCTGGTGCCGCTTCGTCTGCAATACACAGTTCCCTCCCCATTTCCGATTTCGCGCTTAAGCCGCGCACAGTCGCACACGCAAAATGTCACATCCTCTCTCAAAGTTCTCCAAAGCCAACGCCCCTGCAGTTGCTTCCCCCAAACGTTACCAGACCACCCCTACGAATCTCGTTCTGGCCCCTAACAGAAGTTCCTTCCAAGTTTCTGCTCCGTCTGCACTCTATACTAACCGCCACAGCATGTTTGTGCGTGTAAGGGCACCAACATGCTGCAGACACTACCAAATGTCAAGTCGGCTATCAGTCGCCAAGAGTACGCACACGCAAGCAAATCCATACCAACATCTCCTGAGTCCTGACTCCTAGTTCACGAACTCAGTCCCCATCACATCACAAATTCAGTTCACGAATTCATTCACCATCACATCCCGTATACACCAGAGTCACGAAGTCCTTCACCACTGCATCACGGGTGCGTCAGAGTTCACGAGGTCACTCCCCGTCACATCGCGGCTCCTTCCGAGTTCATGAAGTCACTCCCCTTCGCATCACGACTCGTTCCGCGTTCACGAAGTCACATCCCCTTCACATCACGGGTTCTTTCGCGTTCTCGGAGTCACGCCCATTCACATCACGACTCCTTCCGCATTCACGAAGTCACATCCCCTTCACATCACGACTTGGTCCGAGTTCACGAAGTCATTCACAGCCCTTCACCATGACGCGGTGAGCGTGAGTGAGTGTGAGTGAGCGAGTTCGTGAGTGACTTCGCCGAGGTATGGTCACACCCCGCCTTATATTCGAAGCTCAGTATAGCAATATGGCGATTATTTTTCTTTTTCTTGGGTCCTTCAACTGCCCCCTCGCCTTATAATCGTGGCCGCCTTATATTCAAATAAATACGGTGCCAGCTTTGTATCGCACCATGGAAACTGTTGCTCATGGCAGACGATCAGTAGCTGATAACACGTGAGCAGCGCAACATCAGCTCTTCGCTGCATGTGAGAACTGGTCTTTACAGGGAGTCTTTTGATCACAAAAAGTTCATCTTGGTGTGGCGTAATGACGAGCAGCGGGCTCTTTTTTTTTTTTTTTGTACGCATTGGAGAAAAAAATTTAAACTGATTCTGAAGGACCATTTTCTGGGCTAACCACTCGGTGACATTAGGTGCCTGAGAAACAACTTTAACGCATTGAAATTGATAATTGAAATCATGGACCACCAATGATCGATCTGAATAACGAAAGGGTTAAAATACTGTACAGTTAGGGACAACGCCTCGACTTCGGACGTCTTACTTACGTTTCACGCTGGCTGTTCTCTATGAATGGTCTGCAGTGGTCACGAATGTGCTCGCGCAGACTGTTCGGAGAGAAAGCATTGGTTAAGTTTTACATTTGTGAGTTCAGACTTTGCATATTGTGTTTTACTGTCGATTCCTCAGAATGAGCGCCATGTCTACCTCTTGGTTCCACGGCCGGCACCGAGCCTTTCCGAACGGCGGTGCGCTCCTCGCCACGCACAGAAGGCTCTGGAGCACGTGTTGCGTGCCCTGCACGAGCTCCACAAGGCGACGGGCGGCCCCATTGCTCACGGTGCCGTCCACCCAGAGATGGTGCTGTTTGACGACCAATCGGAGGAGGCAGTCCTGGACCTACCACTGTGGACCCTTCGCTCGGTGGGGATCATGTGAACTCGTTTCCCGAATCCTTAGCTTTCTTATGGGTATCTTATTTCGGTGGTGCGATGCAAAAAACATACTTTGGGGACGACAATAAGTTTAAGCCTCGACGCAAGTGCATTAGCGCACCTTGACCTCTGACTAAGGCTGTGTACGCAGGCTATTCACTTTTGAATTGCTGCATAAAGCCATCTGGGAGTATATGTTTCTACACACAAAAGGCTATGTGTTTGTGGAGTTCTGTAGAGTTTTTCAACCAGCCTGTGTTGCTTTTAATGGCTGTTTTGTTGTGAATGCTTTTTTTCTGGCCCACATCTGAATTGCCACTCTAGAGTTACTAGCTCGGCTGGATACTTCACCAGCTTGATCTACCTAATCTAACCAGTTACCCTACTCTCTGCAGTAGTGTGCATGAATGAACAGTGATAATTATGCTCCATTCCCAGTAGCCTGCAAAGAAAAGCCCAGCCAATCTTTCTTTTTCTTTTTTTGTTTAACGCAAAAGCATTGACTGTCTCATGGAGCGAAAGAGCCAGACGGCTCTTTTACACCGCTTCAATCTCCTTGGCTAGCGCGCGTCTACACAGCCAACGGCACCTTTTACATCGCTACGATCCCATTGACTAGCCCGTGACGACCAGGAACCCATTCGGCAGACACGCAGCGCCATCAGGTGGCCGGTCGTTGAAACTGATGCTGCGTGTCAGTTTCAGCGACCAGCCACCTCATGGCGCTGCATGTCCGTCAGCGCCAGTCAGCGCGCCAACAGCGGAAGTCGAAAGCCTGTCTTATCCGTCTGTCTTCAATGTCTCTCTTTCCTTAACGTAAACCATCTACAGCCACATTGATGTACAGGGTGTCACAACAAAAAAAATTTACAGGGATTTTTCTACCACAAAATTAAACTAGGCATCGTCGAACGCTCATCCTCCGCCCAAAGGTAGCGCTAGAGGTCACAACCAGATGCCAAAGTTTCAGCCCGATCCAATACCTTATTCACTATTTATAAGTGATTTTCTGAAAATTTCAATGGGAAAATGGCGGCCGACGGAGCTTTTTGAATACGTGGGGCCTATGGGCAGCAGAAACCGAAAACGGGCAAAAATGGGCTCTTTTTTTCCCCCTTGAAATTTTCAGAAAATCACTTATAACTTTTGAATAAGCTATGAGATCGGGCTGAAACTTTGTCATCTGGCTGTGACCTCTAGCACTACCTTTGGGTGGAGAATGAGCGTTTGGCGATGCCTAGTTATTTTTGCGGTAAAAATTTTTTTTGTGACACCCTGTACATGCTTTTGCATTCACAACTCATAAGAAGTGCTTAGGTGTACCTCAATGTTTTTTCTTGTTCAGTGGGAGTGTAGAGATCATAACTTACACATTAAGTGGCGAAGTAGTCATGTTGTTAAGCAATGAATTAGAGATTCAACTGCCAGATTTTGTTATATTATTTCATTGTTTTCTGCATGGTTCTTTCAGTTAAATGCATTTTTTAATGGCCTGCGATTTTTTTCAGGATTCTACCACCAAACAGTGTGCCCAAATCTGTGACAGATTAGGATAGAATGTGGTTGCATTTCTGCATGGCCAGAAATTATTGTCAGTTAAAAAAAAAAAAAAAAAAGAGCTCTAGGGGCCATTTTAGTTAAAACTGATGGTGAATTCCACTCGCAGATCTCGAGCGCTCCAAAAGCGCTCCATTTGGAGCGCGCATATTCCGCTCGCAGATCTGGCTCAAGTTGGTCATCTTCCGCTCGTAGATCTCTGGCAGCGCCCGCTCCACGGAGCGCCCCAAACTCCGCCGAACTTGCTCTGCGGGATTTCACGGTTCTCTCCGGAAGCTAACAGAGCGGCCCACGTGACTTCAGTCTAAATCGGCGGTGCGCATGCGTGGCGAGGTTGGAGAGATCGGCGGGCCGGTCGGGTCGTGGAGTTGGATCTGTTCGGGTGCGTCGGCTGTTTACTCTGGATTGTGACGGCTCCAACGCTTCTACCTCGCGTAGATCGGGGATAAAAAGCCGGCAATGTGGAGCATGGCAAATCGTAAGCGCTGACGTCTGTGATCGTGAGAGGAAGAACGAGAAAAAGAATGACAGAAAAGCCGCAAGGGTAGGCCTATTCATTTTGCAGCCAGTGATTGTTTACCTTTTTACACTGCATTCCGTCGGCGTTTTCCCGTGAAATAAAGCAAGAAGTGGTTAGGCAACGACCGCGCAAGTGATGGTTTGTTACCTCTGTGTTTATTAAAGTCGTACTACAAATCTGAACTCCACGCTGGCAAGCGCTGTCCGTGCCCCGCCGCTTCGAGGCGGCCGAAAGGTATGTGACGGTGCCAAACGCGAACGTCTTCGTTATTTGTGACATGGGCGCCGCGGTACGTATAATTTCGCCTGGCCTGTGTCGCGTGTTACTTCTGCAGCTAAGCAGTGACAGTCGTCACTGGTCGTTGGAAAGATCAGCCGGCTGAGGCGTTGGTGGGCTGGTCAAGTTCAAGCAGCGGCCATTTTGTACGGCGGAGGGAGAAGGGGTGGGGAGGGGTGTGGGGGAGGTCGCTCCAAAAATGCAAGTTTATCTTCCCCTCGTCGATTCGGAGCGGGTCCCACGGAGCGGAATTTTGCCTCCCTCGCGGATTTTGGAAAGCGCTCCAGATCTACGAGTGGAATTCACCATGAGGCTTTCTGTCCCTGCATTGATTGCAATAACTTGCTTGATTACCCCGAAGCTCTGCAACAAAGTGCTGCAGATGTTCCAAGTCAAGTAAACCTCTAAGAAGCTTTACCAGTCTACTGTGCACAAAACGATTGCCACAAACAAGTAATCTCTTTGTGTGTGTGTGTGTGTGTTTTTTTGGTTTTTTTTTTCGTAGCTGAAGGTTGCCATTAAAATAATTGATGGGTTGGAATATGCTCATCTTGGGCACCAACTTGGTTAGCAAGATGTGGCATTTGTCAGTTCCCTCTCCAAGCATAATGTGAAAAAGCCGATGCCGTGTTTTTACTATACCTGTATCGCAGTGTACAATGCACATTGTACCGTTCAAATTACCCTCCGAGAGTTCTGTAACAAACAATCTGATCGGGGGGCTTGGATCCAGGGTCGAAGCCTCCTGCCAAGCCTGGATGGCATCGACTTTGTGGCCCCCGAGCAGCGGGGAGGGCCGTTCTGCCGGCCCAGCCCCGAGGGGGACATGTATTCCCTGGGTTGTCTAGCCCTCTGGGTGAGTCACCAACACGTTAGCTTTGCAGGACGGCCCTAACCTAACGTGATTCTGCCCAGATGCTGTTCCCAGGAACCTTGTTCAAGCAGACACCCGCTGGCATCCCCGACATCTCCGTGCTGGAATCTGTAAGTTGAGCCTAGTCCAGGGAGCTATTGCTTTCTTCGTATGGGCGCGTTAAATCTGCACTCCTTTACTCCTACTTAGAGCGCAGAAATTAAACGGCGCGTGGCGTACAAGAGCACGACACACCGAAACTATCGGCGAGCCACACGAGCTCCTTCCGACCGCACGGTTATGACGAGCCCGGCATCTCCTGGATACGGGTGGGAGAAGCCGCAATTATTTCGAAGATAAATTAATTAGGCCCACGTGGAGCAGCAGGGTGTAAAGTAAAAGAGACTGCGACGCTATTAAGTTTCTACAAACGTTTTAATATTCCTGAAAGGTTTGAAGACTCGCTTCGAGCACATATGTGGAAAGTTACCTTGGCCGATCCATTTATTGACCATGCATGCTGTTCAGATAATAAATTAAAACAACATTCTTGAGCCCGCTTGTCGGCACAGGAAACCTTCAAACCTTTCAGATATTTCGTGGTTCCGTCTTCGTCATTCAGTAGATAGCACGTCGATTCTATTGGAGGCGAGATGCATGAACAAACCGTTTTTGCCACACTAACTGATATGTTTCGGCTTTCCATTCAAAGTATCTTGATTCGTTGGGCTAAGCATTCTAAAAAGGGCCAGCGGTCAGACTTTCTTCTCATCTCAACTTTTCTGTTGCTGAGCTGTCAACACGCTACCGTTCGATAAATGAATTCGTTTTCAGGCGAGGTGCATGGACAAACTTTTTCCTCAACGCTAAGTGATGTTTCGACTTTCCAATCGAAGTATCTTTATTCGCTGGGGTAAGCATTATAAAAGGGGCAGCAGTCCGAATGTCTCCTCATCTCGACAACTTTTCTGTCGCTGTGCTATTGGCACGCTACCGTTTGATAGATGAATTCGTTTTCAGGTAAGAAACCTTTTCCAGAACGCTAATTGCCATCTTGGCTTTCGTATCAAATTGTTTTTACCTGCTAGATTAAGCACTAATCAACTGAGAAGGGGCAGCGGTCCGGCTACGCCTTTTCTTCTTTACGGTCTCAACAACAGCGCAGCCATCTTGTTCGCTTACGTGACGTCACGGAGCGCCAAGTAGTCACTCGCGCTCCGAGACATTCTTGGTGCACGAAGAGCGAGCTCGAGTGTCAGCCTCCGGAGGCTTTCCTGTCCGTTTAGTGAAAGGAGCGCCAAACTCTCGTGCTCCGGAGCACGGACTTAACGTGCCCAATCCTTTATTAGAGATAGCCATCGAACGTGCACTGCAATCTTAGAAGTAATGTAGCATGGGCACCATCGGGTCACTGCTGTCCACGTATGGTAGCGACCTTCAAAGAGTTAATCTTTCACCTTATGTCGGTTCTCCACCCTCGTGTGCTGAAGTTTTAAATTTCAAAATATTAAGGTTTCAGATTACTTTGCAGTTTTGGAAGTGACTCAAAACCTCTATTGGATAGCATCTCTTCTACAAATATAAAATATTATGTTGTTGAATTAAACAAATGACATACAATAGCAACATTGCCACGAGTGTGCTCAAACTGAAACCAGCCAATTTGAAGCCACCTGATGACAGCGGTTGCACCAGTGCCCTCTGTGCTCTAGTCGGGTAACTGCTCAGATGAATGGGCACCTTCTAGCCTTGCATACACATAATAGGGCCGAGCCATATGCTGCCATTTGAGTAGCTCCAGTTAATAATAGCACTTTTCTTAGGGCTACTTGAAAGAAAGCAGTTGATTTGAGATGGACAGCTTATAGAAGGGGGACAATTCTTCTGTGTTGATACACAACTTGCATTGTAGCAATTGTGGACGCTTCTCTCAGTAATTCTTTCCCCTACATTTTTTTCCAGTCACAGACGGCCCAGCCACAGCTGTCGACCATCCGTCGCCTGCTGAAGGCTGAACCGCAAGAGCGTCTCACTGCCAAGGAAGCTCTGACCAGCACTTTCTTCCTAGACGCCCCCCATAAGGCTGACCCTCCTCAGGAACCCCCTGCCACCCCAGCCGTAGAAACGAACCAGGCAGTTACAAGCCCGCAGGACACTCCCCAAGATACGTCTACAGAAAGTCGGGTCCTGCTACGTGCCATCGAGGTATGTGCAATGGCAGTACGCGAGGACGCGTCGGTGCCGGCTCTACAAGACGACGCTCGTGAGGGTCTGGTGAACAGCTTTCCCCAGGACTTGCCCACAGAGTTTCAAGACACGTTAGAAGCCAGAAACGAAGCCATTTCTCCGGTTACAGACGAAGAGATGTCTCAAGAGCCTCCACAGGTTGAGCATCAAGACCTACTCCCCGAAGACACCGCTGCACCGGATGCATCTGAAGGGGAGACTGAGGACACCCCCGAGGATGCGCCGCTATCCACTCCACGCCTGACAGTTGCCCAGGTTTTGAGCATTGCCGTGTCGACCAAAAGTAAGCACGACCCGGAAGAGTGCAGTGATGTGCTGAGCCAAACGGGAGACAGCGTGTCCGATTTGGCCGAGAATGGGGACTACTTCCAACCGGCGGAGCAAATGTTGGAAGTGTGCAAGCGCAATGCTGCCGGAGACCAAGTGGATGGTACAAGCTCTCCACTTTTAGCCACAGGGGAAGACCAGGCGACTATAAATGACTGTTATGGAAACTAGAACTGGGCCACAGTCGTGCCCCCCGCAATACTGCATTTATGCCTGCACAACGGCGTTTTCTACATGTTCTGCTTCAGAAATATTTTTGTTTATTGCGTGGTTTGTACCACCAGCCTTGTACGCTGTTGATCACTTGCATGCACCTGCTCCAACCTCCACGCCATTTTGCTTTCCTTTGTTGTTGGTTTTTTTTTTTTGGTCGGCTTTCATTGCATATGTTTTGAGCATTAGACATCTACAATATAGTTACGATTGCGTAGCAGGACTGTCAAGTCAATAGCTGCTCTATAGTTATCGAATAGTAAACTGGCACAGTAGAATAGCTCTTGGCAAGTGCTTCCAAGAGCATCTGCTATGACTAGCTGATTAAAAGTATGTCATCACTCCCAAATAAATGCAGAATACTAGACCCCTGGTAGATCTGTGGATATTACTATATGGTGGATAGAACAGGAGACTGAAACTTGGAGAACTGCAGATGATAAATTTTCCGTAATCATTTTTGAACGTCCTTGTGCTGCCCCAATTGAGGGAATTTGGCTGAAATTTAAATGTACAAATGTACCTTCAACACAGCTATAGATAACTTTGCTCGGAGCTCTACTGAATCACACTTGAAAGAACCGCTCCATTATGTTTTTGTTTACCAAGGTTGTAAACTTCTCATCCATATTTAGGTACTTTTTTTTTTAACATGTTAAATGAAATATGACCTTTGATAGGAGCTCAAATGTTTCTCTGTCGAATTTTATCTCCATGCAAGTGTAGCGTACATTGTTTGCACTGCCCATCGACATAGGAAAAAGCTTTTATTTGCAACATTGTCTAGTTGGACTGTTGCCTTCACTCCTGCAGCAGCAAGTAGGAAATCCCGGCGCCGAGAGCAGCGATTGCCGCACTTGCGATGGGAACTGTAAGGAATGTATGATTGTCGACCTCCCCGATGTGTGGAGGATTGGCAGGCCCACTTACTGAGCATGTTGCGTCCACGCGAAAGTTGTTCAGTGGCTTCTGTGAGGATCTCTGCTGCCTCGACACCATCGATTACCTGCTGGTTGCTTTCTGCAAAGGACAATTGCAACGAGAATCTTCAGGCTTGACCCAGCCTGGTAAATACACGGCCCAAGCCCGACAAGAGCAATTGTGCCTGGTTTGAGCGAGCCAGGCATGAGTGCTCTTGTTTGCAACTCCATGCCAAAGAAATCCCCCCCCCCCCCCCCCCCCCCAAAAAAAGACAGCCTGTTCATCTTCGTCAGGGTGATTGATAGACTATTTCACAAATGCCAGTGTCATCAATGAGTGCCCAGGTGCATGAGGGAGGTGGGGAGGGGCACAAGAGCAGCAGACGAATGCAGCTCGCATGGTTTACTTCAAGGTTCCCAGCACGCTTCATGGGCAGTCCACGAGGTCGTGCACTACACTGTGAACTGGTCCAGTCTTTGTGATAGTTTGAATGCGTCATCTGAACAATCCAATCTGGCAAGGTGACAAAGCATTGCCCACAAATGAGAAGGTGGCATGCAGCAACTGATTGTGAAAGATATGAGGACACCAAAAATAAACAAGTTTCAGGAACCAAACATGGACCATTCACAATTACTTGCATCTCCATTCATCCTTGGGGTTGATGTCACCAAGGTACAGAGTGTCGGACCGAAACTATGGCCTTGCGACCGGCCAGCTTTAGGCAGGAATTGGACGCCAATGCCGGGAGTTCTCGCCGCTTCAACACTACATAGTCCCAGCCAAATGCTGATGCAGCGGTTATGTCCAGTCTGCCCCATGCTGAGCAATTGTAGGCGACACTTGCTATCGAGGAGGCCTTGACTTAGTCCACAATTTCTTTGGTCGTTTAACAACTGAAGAAACAAAATATTTTCGCTTGCCACTTGACATTTTTATGCAATCCTCACCCGAGAAACCAGAGTTTTGGTAAAAGCCCAGTACCAACCTAGGAAAAAATGCGCCCTGCCTGGGCCATCGGGCGAGCCTCGGCTGCGCACAGTGGTTCCTCAAGATTTCCTCAATCATCTCCGATTTAAGCCTTATTTCAGCAGGTCCGAGTCACCCACACTGGCTACTACAGTCTAAGCTCGTTATAACAGACCTCGATTTTGACCAAGATTTTGGTCTGTTGTAAAAGGAGTATGCTGTATGCAGATATGAAGTTGAGTCAATGGCGCACAGAAGAAAACCAACCTAACTTCACAAAGCAGTATGTTATATCCAAATGTCTGTTGTAACCAGGTCCGTTATAATGAGCTTAGACTGTAGATGTACTGTCAATACTGATTGATAAGTCCTGTCTGTCTGACTGACTACAATCGATCTGGAAATACAGGGTGCCAGTAGCATTTTAGTGCTTACTACCAAACAAAATTTGCACCAAAGTCTATACCGCCGGTTACGTGCGGTGTCTGTATAATGCAGCCCCCACAATGTGATGCTACCAGTTGCTACTCGCACAAGGATTTCTTTTTCATGGAGCAAAAATAACATCCACGTGACTAGAATAAAAACAAACATGGCTAAACCATGGACCATAAAATACCAGAGAAATGCCCACCCCACTTCCTCTGTAAACTGGGTTAAACTAGACGGGCATTTGTCTGGTCAGATCTCTTAAAACCAAAATGGAGGCCAATAAAGAGCTTTGAAGGCTGGGTGAACGAATCGGAGAAAGCACATTTATTCTTGCACAATATCCCTGTCATTGCCGCTGCAGGCCTCGCAGCCGCTGCAACAGGGTGAATATTTCCGGGCGATGCTAGTGCTTTGGAGGGGTTGGGAACTTAACGTATAGTTTGCAAGCTTGGGGGAATGTTAATGGTGGGTGGTTGTACGAAGTGCGCACTATCGCAATATTTTGGGGTAGTTTATAATTCTCACTCAATTAGGCTAACTTTCAGGTTATTTCTTGAATTCATGCACAGGAATGGAAATTAACTAGATGGAAACAAGGCTGCCTCTCGGCCCTCTTTTTTACTTAGCCATTACCTTAATAATAAGGCTTGTCCAAGCAGACTTCAAAACGCGTGCACCGGTCCGCTTTCATCGGCTTCTTTTGCCAAGATAGCTTCCCTCCGCTTCTGTCCTTGACTGAGGTCTAGAGTGTACTCATCACGTGGGTCTGGACAGCTACTCACATGCTCCGTTGGCTGTTGGTCAAAGCCTCCACTATTGTTCACGTCAGCTTTCCGAAAAGCACGAAAGGAAAGGGTACAAGGGTGAGGAGGCTAAGTCTATCACCACAGGAGGCCAAGCCTCCTGTGGTGATAGCAGCCGCGGCAGAACAGGTCGACAGGCACACCATTGGCATCTTGCGTGCGACGTCAAGCCTGACAAGCACCTATGTCACCAAAAAGCAGGAGGCGAGGAGGAAAGCCGTGATGCTCAAACGGTAAACGGACGGACTTCAACTTTCACTTTATATGCCGGTGAAGTGTCGCTTCATGCGTTTTGATGTGTCCTGTTTGGACAGCCCTTCGGGGCTGTCCAATTGTTGGTCTGCGCTTCCCCACACCCGGTGTGGGGAAACAGTTTGTTTGTAAACAGTGTGTTTTGTCGATGGAAGAATTCCTTGACTGGCCACACAAGAAGTGCTCACCTGGTGAGTGCTCAACGTCCAGCTCTATGTCTTCAGCATCCACAGTCAGGCCCAGCAGCTCGTGCAGGGCCTCGAGAGAGTCTGCTGCAGCATCCCCGTGGAAGATGTAGTCGCACAGCGTCAGGTCTCGTTCCTCCAGTGGGAAGAACACTCGCTTTGGGAGTTCATGTACCAGTGATGGGTCTGCAGGGATAATGAAGAAACCTGTTCATAAGCAACAATAAACAGTTCAAGACAATGACAGAAAGAATGTGGATGACACTCTTGGGACAGAGGAATGCTTCTGCTCTTGAGCTAACTTTGGAGTGCATGTTCCAGCAGGTGAACCGTCCTTGGTGTTTGTACTGGCTACAATGAACTAATTGGAAATCTTAGGCTTCAATGATGCAGTAAAAGGCTTTCTTGAACAAGACAAAAATTCAAAAATGCAGAACGAATTCAGAAGCCATACCGTGCTGTTCATCTTCAATAAGCAGCATGTCTTCACACTGAATTTCGCACCTGGATGTGATGCTCCGTACAACATCTTGTTTGATGGCCTGCACCAAACAATGTGCAAGATTCAGATTGTGTAACAATGCGTAGGGTGCAGTCGAAAGAACCTTAATGGCTTCTTGGACGGTGGCTTTGCTGTGCACAAATGCCCGGCACTGGATGGTCCCCACAATGGACATGGTGGCCCCACAGTCTGTTGGCCCAAGCACCTTGCTCTGGCCAGCATTGTTGTTGCAGTCCTGCAGAAATGCAGTTTGGTGAGTCAGTCAGTGGACATTCCCAATTGAGAATGGCATCCCCTGAGAAGGGGACAAAAGTGACCTCACCATTGGCAAAAAAAGGTCCACCAAAAAGATGCTCTGTAGGTCTTTGGCTCGGGAGCGTCTCTTGTCGGCCCCAGAGTCCAGGGCCTCCTGCGGAGGACGCGACTCTCCGTTGAGCAGAGCCACGGCCTCCTGGAGGGCCCTGAAGAAGGGCTGTAGCCCAAACTGGATCTGGCGCATGAGTCCCTGCTGGCAGCGCTCTTCACTCAAGGGAACCCAAAGATTCAGGCTGAGGCTCGTCTCCAGTCGATGCCAGCGGGTAGACCCGCCACCCGTAGACTGCTTCCAATCTGCCGGCTTGGCTGTGCTCTGGAACCAAGCTTGGGCTTTTAGTGGATCTATTTTGAGTTTTCACACCTCACCTACCTTCAGAGTGACTAAAACGTGAAAGACAGAGCATCTGCGCTCCTTTTTTCTTTGGTAACCAATTCTTACTGGCGGAGAAATAGTTGCCAAAAGTACTGCAGGGAAGTGGCCCCGCAGAGTGTGATATCTCTGCCTCGTCTGAGGTGTCTTTCTTTCGAAGCCTAACCCAGGATTCTAACAGATTAACTTAATTAAACGAATAGACTACTTCCATAAACCCCTGCATGCAACACTGCGCGCGTTGCACTCTGGGAACTAGTTGGCCAGGCAGGAGAGTGGCGTGGTTTCGGTTTCGATCGACACGTCGACAAGAGATTATTCACAGAACGTATCTTGTGTTTTCTCGTACCGAGAGCCTAATTTTTGGTCTCTAAACTAACCTAAACGGCCAGACCTCAAAGCTTTAGCACAAGCCCGAGACGTATAGCTTATCTTAACACATGCTAGTTGTATTTCTGTACTCGAGCCTTTCTGATAGCGTGTCGAGGTATGTGAACGAGCCAGTGCTGGGAATCTCGACGCTGCGAAGCTCGGGGATCTTGCTTGTGTACGAGTCAACAAACTGTAACAACTAATACATCGAGCTCGCCCTTTCACATTAGTGTTGCTGGTCAGAAAGTTGTTTTGTTTTGTGCGTTTATAGACAAAATATAACTTTTTGCAATTACTGTTTTTCTTAATACACCTCAGTATGTGAGGTAAAACTCTGTGGCACCATTGAAAAGCTCAAATCGAACACACTTTTAATCTCTTATCTGTACAGGCCCGCGGCACTGCAGAAAGCAAAGTCCTCACCCGCTTGCATTCCCCTAATATTCAACATTGCGTATGCGCATAAAGTTATCCCGCTAATCATATAGACACATTCGCACATACAAACCTTTCTCTATGCGGTGCGCCAAACAAACAAAATTATTCAAAGTGCATTTGACATTTGCTAATGGCCATAACATTTGTTATGTGTTTGCTTTCTTCCAGACTCAGTATGCCGGGATAATTTCAGACACACCGTTCAGGCAGAGACCCTGGGCATCAGTAAAAGCTCGTCCAAAAAGGCTTAGCAATGAGTAGGGGACGCTTGTTAGGGCCTCCGTAGTAGCTAGCCGATTTCGGCGTTTGCGAAAACTTAATCTCCTATCAGTATAAAATTTGAGTGGGAGATATATGATGACACGAGGAACACATCATAGTAACTTTTGTACAGTAGTGAGGTCAAATTTATTGCGTTTCCTAAAAAGTTTGTGCGTCAACGCTGGGCTCAGGTTTGATACTCCTGTGAGGATGTGGCTTGCTTTCCGCCCCATTAAGTACCAAGAAGTGGACGTTTGGCAAACAAGATACATGTAAGGCTCAAGGTGACTAAATTTCAATTGTAGTTCACTGGTACTAGACGGGATTATTGAAATTAAGCTCAAAGATGCACTTGTGGGGTGAGGTAACTAAGCTACATATTACTATGTTTGCATATGCACGCACAATATCCGGTGTTTTGGGAACCAAGGAAAGTGCTTCGGTCTATGTTTTGTATCGCTCAAGAATGAGTGTAATGTACATTCGTGAAAAGTCAGATAATCGAAAACGCAAGCAGCGCATTCAAACACGGCGTGATGGCATGAAATAAAGCTGCTCAATCAAAACCGAAACTTAGAGGTCAACTAGTTTCCAGAGTGCACTGCGTGGTATTTCGCCGCGATGGGGCGCTTCGATTTTGGAAGAAGTCCATTATGCGCTGTCTTGACCGCTAGCTCCATGTTTCTTCTAGGCTTGGCTTTCATTCAAAATTGTTCCCTGTCACGTAGGTGGCGCTGGTTTCTGCCAGTCGGTGACACTATACAGAGTATGGAGCTTCGAGCAAAACATTCTTCGCTCGGCATTTTGTGAAATTGAGATCTTGCACTGAAGTGTGACAACTTGAAGCTTCTTAGACCTTTGAATGTTGTATGTATCACTTAGGTCGTACACTTTATAATGTTAGCGGTGTCTGAAAATGCTCACTGCAAATTTCCAGCAGATAATGCAGACAATGACACTAGCTGCCAAGAAAAAAGAAAAAAATCACAATTGCACACGTGCTACTGTTGCCATCGGAACACCCCATGCCGAGGCACCTCCTTCAAGAATGATGGTTGTTTTCCTCAATACTTTAATAAACGACCAACCATTATAATGCTTTACTCTGCAAACAGTGTTTCATTAACTAACTGTGCATCAGTGTTTCATTAACTAACTATGCAGCACAGTGCCGGTTCTAGAACTGTCATCAGTTTTTTGCCACATAGTGTGAAGCAAACGTTTGATCAAAAGTGGAAAGCCCCCAAAAGTTTCTTACCTTTGTATCGGTAATATTGAATGTCTTGCATGTAACCCTGATGATGTGAGTCAAGGTTACATATTAGCATCAAGTGGTTTCTCTGAGCACCACAAAAAACTGAGGGGAACACCTCTTCGGATGAGACAAAAAGGATACTTTCTCGTAACCGAACAAATCTGCAGGAGAATCTTGTCAGTCACCTCCGGATTGAAAGATGTTTTGTGGTCCTTCCCAAGTGACTTGTATATTGCAAAAAGGACCTGCATTAAAAATAAAATGTTGGTGCTGTATGCACACGCCACATCTGACTCACTTGTCTGAGCTGGATGTGTGCAGCCGCCAGTGCATCGGGAGGGCCCACCGCAAAGAGACCCAGGACATCAATCCCTCCTGGCAGCATCCGCGTGACCTACAGTGCAGACAGCAAATCTGTGGAGTTGACTTTAAACTTCTCCCAGAGTGCGACAACATCGACTGAGGATCGAAATAGATGCTTTTCTGTCTGCTTACCAATAAGGATACAAACATCATTGACCCTAGGGTGGGCCTTAGGGTACAACCTACACAAAACTACACTGTTTGTGGCCGCAAACATTGACACCTTCGCTGTAGCTTGTAGTAATGTCGTGGGATGGATTCATACCAGACTAATGGGAAGTCACGTTAATCGGTTACATACAAAGCAGTTAATACTAGTTTCATGTTTGGATCACTATCATTGTCGTACCACTTCAGCAATTAAAGATATCAGATCTGCCGGTGGCTCGCACCTGCTTGGCATGTTGGCAGATCCAACCTTCCTCCACTTCTCCAGGGGCCGCCTTGCTCTTCACGTCGCCTTCTTCCTGCGATTCCTCGTCATCTTTCTTCGGCGTGCTGGCAACGTGCACGACAATGTCTCGCTGCTGCGTGCTCTGCGCATTGAAACCGATGGTCCCTGTGGGCACTATTCCAAGCACGCTGCTGCCGTCAGCGTCATCGCAGCATGTTCAACGTCTACGCACCTGGCCGATGATGACTCCTACCGTGACATCTGTTGCTTTTCTCTGGACAAGTTCGTTGACGAGCTTCTGCACGTGGTCGTCGTAGACAACGGTCCTTCCCATCTCTGCGAGCGTGTGGCCGTCCTCCTAAAGGTAATAAACACACTGCGTGCAAAACGGAGCGATCTTGACAGCTGGTACAGACAACACAGGTCGGGTCGGCCGAGAGCCGACACAACCGGAAATAGACCGGGGAATTCGGTACCACGTGAGCTTTCCCTGGGCATCATGGGTATCAAACTTCCGGGTTGTGCCAAGTTTCGGTTTCTGTTTTAAAAAACGCGTTTATAACATGTAAAACAACAATAATAATAATAATAATTTATGAAAGTGGTATTTTGCTCCAGCCGATAAACTCACTTTTCAAAGTCAAGAAGTGTGAGTCAACGCGTGCCACGTCCTGTTAAAGAGCAAATTTGAGGGGTGTGCGCTGACGTTCGCTGCGATCAATAACTCCCCCCCCCCCCCCCCCCTCAATTCCAAAATAATAATAATAATAATAATAATTTTGAGCGCAGTTTGTAATTGTTTACATTCCAAGCAATGCTAATACATTCTTATTTGTTTTATTCAAAATTTTATATAAATATTTAGATGTGCCACACACTTGGCATTTTTGTAATAAATTAAATCTTATGGGAGACTGGTAATCTAAAAGTTCGGTAAACTGTCGGTATGTGTTTTTCTTTTTGTTTTTGGTTTTTACAAATAGTTCCAATACTTTTCTTTTTTTTTTTTATTAAACACGTTTTTGCTGATAGCTTTTACCAAAACTTCGTATATTTTATAGTAAACTGTTTGGAGAACGTTGTTATGGCTTCGTGCCTTACGCACGATACTATAGATTCATTATTTCATAGTCAGCTGCATTTGCAGAGTAAGAACCGTAAGAGAAGCTCCGCCCCCGGGTTTCCAGAGAAAAATGGCGCACTGAGTATGTACGAACGCACCCTTTTCCGATGTCAGAGAAAAAAAAAACACAAAAAAACAACATCATCAGCACTTTTTTTATTATTTTTTTAAAGAGTTAGCAAGGCAGGGTTTGCCTAATACCCAATGCACTAAGCAGAGCAGTATTTTGTGTGTGTGTGTGGGGGGGGGGGGGGGGGGGGGGAGAGGGGAGGGGGGGGACATTTCCTGAAAGATTTTTTTTTAACAAAAAAATATTTTATGTTTGTTATATATTTTAAGAAATCAATAATTGAATTTAGACGTTTGTGCGAATTCAACACGCTGTTCAAAAAGGAAAAGAAGTAACTTTTTTTTTTTTGTTACACCTCTTTAAATGCCTTTTGTATCTAGGTACATATATCTCATTGCACACGTATATCCTTTCGGCCTATACACATATCTCATTAGTCGCAAAACCATAGTTTAGAACCTTTAAATGTATACCACGTAAACAACTCAGTTCGTCTCGGAGGCGAACCGAGTCCATCAAACCTCACACACTTCGTTTGCTTGTTCGGAATTTTTTTTTTTTTTTTTTTTTTTTTTTTTTTTTTTTTTTTTATTGTCTAATGCACGTTAGGCCATCTTCGTACGTTGTCGTCGGCTGATGTCTTGAAACAATCGAGCATCTGTGTGCAGTTTCCCCCACCTCGGGCCCACATATCATCAAGCGCGTGTGCGGGAAAACGGAATGCCTCAGGCTCGACGTGCTCTTGAGGAGTCACAATAACCATTGAAAGAGGGTGGACAACGTTTCGACGGATGAACGGGTCTCCTTTAGTCACAGAGCACGAAGAGCGGGACAGCGTTCCTTTTGATGGATGGCCGCGGCTGTTGCCTCCTGCTCCTCTCGCCACCACCACCGCATCTCGCCCCTCTTCGTCGCGGAGACAGAGAGCACACGGAAAAACTTGCCCTTTGGACCAATGGCTTCTTGAGAAGACGCCACGTGAGAAGTGTCACGTGATCACGCCTACAAAAGCGAGCGGACCCCAAAGTTTGAGCGTACTCGTTTGTGGAGGCGCCTTTGATTCGGCTTCGCGCGAACTTTATCGTGACAATGGTGAGCTCTTCTCTGTCCCTGTCTTGTGTCTCATGGTGCGAAGCATAAATGACAGTGTAGTGGTTTCTGCGTGTTAGCGTACTGTAGCGCATTCTAGACCATGGTTTTAACTCCCGTGGCGCAAACACAAGCATAACCGTAAGAAAAAAAAAAAAAACTTAATTTGTTATTAACGAATTTATGACAGCCTGTCCAAATCTAGAGCTACAAATGTTATTGTCAAAAGTTACACTTTCTCTCTCAATTTATCGAATTTCTTCAATTGAGACATGTTCACGTAGCGCTTTCATGCATGCCTGCCGTGCACTATTTCGACACTCGCCCGCAAACGAGCCATATTTCTAGGAGCCGTGAACATGCATGTATGATCTTACTTGAGCATTCGTTATTCAAATAACGGAAGTCTAGGTAGAAAGGTGCGTGTGTTCACGCTCTCCAGAAATATATGGTTCCTTAGTGTGCGGCGAGTACGTGTTTAGACATCAGTAAAGATCTCTTAGTTGGAGAATTGCAGTCACCTGTACTCCTGCACGCCTTGTCATGGACCTCTTATTCTGCACATTCATCCTTCCCCCAACGAGTGAAAAAAAAAAAGGTATAACAATAAAGAGCCGACAAGCAAGAGTACTCAGATCTTTTTTTAATTGTTCATTCGCACGCGAAATTGAAATTAACTAAATGTGACAGCGAAAAACAGCAAGAAAATAGAGAATCTGCCTTTTTGCGTTTCCAGGAAGTTTGAAGTTAATTGCTATCATTTTAGCAAGCAGAACAACTAAATCTATTGCATTTGCCCATATCCAAATGTAAATTCCGACTGCACAAAAACCATTAACTTGGTCCTTGAAGTATAGGTACGTGTATGAGTGGACTATATATGAAGCGATTCTTTGTAGTCGGTCTATTTCGCTCGTCTTCTCTTGTTATTTTTTTTATTTTTTTCGTCCGCGCTCTCGGCGTCTGTTTTGCCTTACTTGGCCCGACGGTTTCTCCCGTCCCGCGTCACTCCGGTTCCAAACTCGGAACTCCCTCTTTGGGCGGGCGAACAGGAGAGGGCAAGCAACGTGCAAGACGGCTGCTCGAGTGCGTTGCCCGAAGGCCCGAACCGCTATATTTACGCGCGCGCGCTTCGCACCCCTCGACTTATCTTTTTTTTTTTTTTTTCTCTCTCTCTCTCTTTTTAATTTTTATTTATTTGATGACTGTTCGCTAACCTCTACGCCGCTTAGTTAACTTTGGGTATGTTTTGATACCTCTCCGCCATCACTCCACTCCGTTCCCTGTGTTGTTGTTTTTCCGAAGATAAACCCCAGGCCACTTCGCAATAAACTTTCCTTCTTTTTTTTTTAAGCGAGTACATTGAGTACTTAAAGTAATAGATGTTAATTGGCAGGCATTTTGGGGAATTACTTCCTGTAACGTAGGTCTCTTTAAACACCTGTTACTGTTTTCGCTTGTCTCTGTTTTTCACGTAGGAAATATTAATCGGCACATTTTTCTCTTTAATTTCTTTTACTGTTGGCTCCACAGCTAATTTTGAACATCTGAAAAGAAACGAAATCTTGGCAAGACGCACTGCACGGCCGGAGTTTTGTGCGACTCCTTTCTTTCGGATGGATATCTGCATGTGCAATGTGTCCAATCCTGAACAAACTTTCATATTGTTTCATACATGAATACCACCACGATGTGCTTTTATTTTCCGCTACAATACAACGAGTGTAATCTATCATATGCATTAATAAAATTTTACGGATGATCTTTTGAAGTGCAATTAATTTTGCGAAGGATAAACTCTACTGGATGGATAATACTGCAGCCGACATCATTGGGTTTTGGGCCGCTTCTTACATCCATTTTCACGTAGTTTCCAAAGGGCATAAGCCTTGTCCTATTAGATTTGACGGAATTATCATTAAACTTCACATAATCGATTTTTTTTTTCCGTAAAACTCCGAGGCTACGGCACGATGATCAGTGATAACCCGGGATTCCGTGAGAAGGAGCAGACGGAAAAATGCATTAAACCTTTTTTAACACCTTTGAGGGTGTAAAAATGAACTTGTTCCGGGTTTAGCACCCTTTTTTAGGGTGAATACGCTGAGAAGAGGTTGTCCTGTCCTAGAGATACTTTGCGACGCCCTGTACGCCATACGGCCACATGCAGTTTATAAGATACGCTAAAACTAATGCAAACGTAACAAAGTCGGTATCACGACAACTGAAATGAATTCATTCGTCGATGATCGAATGAGCAATTGGTAAGGTTGCAAGTATCTGGTTTCTGTCCTCGTTAATTTTCCACGAAACGATTACTCCTCGAGGTGTAAGGAATTTATCTCTAAGTAAAATGCACTGGAACAAGCAATCGTTTCTCAACATAGTCACTAAATAAACCTCGCCCTAAAGCTGTTTGAAGCGGATATACTCGCTTCACTGCACCCTCATCCACACCTTTTTTACACCCATCAACAAAGGAAGGGTGTTTGGCATCACAAGTTTGCAATTAGAAAGGGTGTATCTACACGAAAATATAGTGCTGCACGGGTGTAGCCGTGGGTGTAAGTCTCTGGGAGACTCTTTTACACCCTGAAGGGTGTACTAAAGTTTAGTGTGAAGAAAAGCTCTTATGCCCCAGCGCCAGACGATTCGGCTTGAACACATTTCGCCGTTGCAAATTGTTTCGAAACTGGTTCGCAGAGTGGCCGCTGCCATGGCATTGCGCTGAGTTCAGAGCCCTTCCGGTTTGCCGTCCACTCCTCTCGCTATTTTGCTGCGGTGACTCTCTTTTCCGCTGCCTCCCCGCCACCCGCGTTTCCATTTCTGACAGGGGAGCTGAGCTCGCAGGAGGGGAGATCAGAGCGATAGCACATAGCGGTGCCATGGGTGAAACACACACACACACAAACACACTCACACACACACACACACACGCACGCGCACACACACACACACACAAAAAAAAAACTATGAAAAGAAATCATGCGTTTTGAACATTCCGTTTTTTCGAAAAAGTAGAACACAATTAATATTTTGAATATTATTTCGGAAAGTTAACCTTCAGGTAGAAATATTGACGAGGCAAGGGAGATAAACAGAAAATTATGAGAAAAAGATTGAGAGACGCAAAACGCTAGACAGAGACTCTCATAAAATAAAATGCAATCATAATTAAGTAAACCACTGTGGCAAAATATTTGACTACCCAAACCAATGCGTATTTACAAAAATAACTTTATTTGATTTGCCCCAGAAAAAAAGAAAAAAAACTTAAAAATACTGAAGGACGTTGACTGGTTGAAATTTTAATTGCCAAAAAAATCGTAAAAATAAAAATGGTAAAATTTACAAATAAATGATTGAATCAAGACAGTAAGTACCTCGACACGCTATACGCACACGAAAGTAATGCCACAAATGCGCGCCACGCTTCTTTAAGTTACATTTGCTTTTATTATTATAATTTGCAGAGGGAGTGCATCAGTGTCCATATTGGTCAAGCCGGCGTGCAGATCGGCAACGCTTGCTGGGAGCTCTACTGTCTGGAGCACGGCATCCAGCCTGACGGCAAGATCCCCAGTGACAAGGTCTGACTGTGCCTCATCACGTCATTTGAAACTAGCTCTAGCTATATGATTTGGAATGGGAAGGGGCCTATATTCTCCTGCTGGTGTGCCGTCATTGCAAGACATGTACAGTGATTTCGTTTCAATTTTGCACGCCCCTCCTCTTCGAAGGTTTCAGGAGGTGTCGACGACTCGTTCAACACCTTCTTCTCCGAGACTGGAGCGGGCAAGCACGTTCCCCGGGCGGTCTTTGTCGACCTGGAACCCACCGTTGTGGACGAAGTGCGCACGGGTAACTACAGGCGGCTTTATCACCCGGAGCAGCTCATTTCAGGTACTACTTCTTCCAATTGACTCTCTCTTTAATGTTCAATAAATATACGCAGACTGCACGACACGTACTGTTAGCGCGAACAAACCATCACCGGTGTTTTAAACTTTTTTTTTTTTCTTCTCTGTATTGAAGGACTGTCATCAAAAGTACTCTAGTGGTGGAAAGTGCTTATTATGGGCACCAAGTTAGGTGGTACAGTTTGATGCCCGCCAGCATGTGCCCTTTCAGAGTAAATTGATAAAAGCACCTAAGTCGTGTTCGCGCTAGCAGCACGTGGCGCAGTGAATACGTGCTTGTGAGGGAAATTCCTCCAACGTGCAACTTTGCGTGTGCAGGCAAGGAGGATGCTGCCAACAACTACGCCCGCGGTCATTACACTATCGGCAAGGAGATCGTGGACTTGGTGCTGGACCGTATTCGCAAACTGGCGGACCAGTGCACGGGTCTTCAGGGCTTCCTGGTGTTCCACAGCTTCGGAGGTGGCACGGGCTCGGGATTCACCTCTCTGCTCATGGAACGACTCTCCGTCGACTACGGCAAGAAGTCCAAGCTGGAGTTCTCCATCTATCCGGCACCACAGGTCACAAAAATGGCTGTTATTTCCGAGTACAATAGACCCCTTTCAAAAGCCCGTGCCAACGCCTGTCCGCCATTGCTTTGCTCACCGGTGCGCAAGTTCGTCTGCTCCTTGCACAGGGGTTGCGATGATGTCAAAACGCTAAACTCTTACTAACTGCAAAAAAAAAAAAAAAATGTAGATTTTAAGGCGTTTAGCATTAAGGTCTACCCACTATCCTTTCAATCAAATCCAATCAGAGCTTGGCATCGTTGTGACGTCACCGCGACCCCCGCGCAAGAGGCAGACGACTTGCTTTCCGCAACGTTCGACGTGAACTCGGCTCAGCTCAGCTCGTATTGAAAACGAGCGCTGCGTCAGCGTTCGGCGAAGACTCGGATCCAATCACGCGCTTTGTGTCCAGCAATGACGACCGCCAATGTTTCTTGACGGACTTAAAAAAAAAAAAAATCCATTATATATAACTTTTTTTTTTTTTCCTAATGAATTGAATTCTAATTGTTAAAGGACAGAAGTGGGCATTTCAGCCTTCGAATAACATAATGTGTATTACGTCTAGCCTAAAATATCGAGGAAGTGCCTGCTGAAAATTTTGAAGGAATCTTGAAAAAACTGAGGCATGAGTGCTGGTTAGGTACAAGAGTAAAAATGCAGAAGGGGCGCGGGGCGCATGATAGGGTAGGTTTTACCGCTTTGTACGAGGGTGCTTGGAGAAGCGACTAAATAGGAGGAATACCTTGGTGGAACTGGAATTCTAGGCGGGCGCTTGATACAACCTTTGTTTAATTTTCAAACATCTCAAAAGTAGCGGGTGGGCGAATTGTGACATGGATAATACACTACACAGTGCTCAGTAACCCCCCCCCCCCCCCCTCCAATCTCATCACTATCATTATCGCTCCTTGTTGAACGCAGGTTGCGACGGCCGTGGTAGAGCCGTACAACTCCATCCTGACAACGCACACGACCTTGGAGCACTCGGACTGCGCCTTCATGGTGGACAACGAGGCCATTTACGACATATGCCGCCGCAACCTGGACATCGAGCGCCCCGCATACACCAACCTGAACCGCCTGATCAGCCAGATCGTGTCGTCCATCACCGCCTCCCTCCGCTTCGACGGAGCGCTCAACGTGGACTTGACGGAGTTCCAGACGAACCTGGTGCCTTACCCCAGGTAAAAACGTTAAAAAATTACAACGTGCCCCCCCCCCAAAAAAAAAAAAAAAAAAAATGTTTTTTAAAAGTGGATTACGCAATGTCGTACGTTGAATCTCCTACCAGATCTATAGAGCTTGCGGTCCGGACCAGTTGCCAAAGTGTCAGAGATAAGCGATATCGTATTCAAGAGTTACAAACGATTTCCGGAAAGTTACAATGGGAAAATGGGGCTTGTTCATGTAGTTGACGCCATTCAGCTTTATGTGTCTCTGGACTTCGCCGGCCGCCATTTTTCCATTGAAACTTTCGGAAGATAAGGGTTAGTTGTGAAAGCATCTGTTCAGGACCGCTGAGCGCTTCATTTGGGCGGATTAAATGAGCGTTCAACAAAACGTAATTTACTTTAGAAAAAAAGAACCAACAACAATTAAATATTTTATTGGTTTTAATGAACATGTCGGCTTATCTGTGGAACTTGAGATTATTTTCTGTGGAATGTATTGATGATCTATGAGAAAGGAAAAACTCGAATGTATCACTGGACATTTCTTCTTAATGCTTAATAGGTCAGGCACCAGTAGGACCCAGGCGGTTCCCCAAGACGAATGTCCGACTGAGGGAGGGGATGTCTATGCAGGATCCACTTCCCGCTGGTGACGTACGCCCCAGTGACCTCGTCGGAGAAGGCGTACCACGAGCAGATGACCGTGTCGGAAATTACCAACGCCTGCTTCGAACCGGCTAATCAGATGGTGAAGTGCGATCCCCGCCGAGGAAAATACATGGCCTGTTGCATGCTGTACCGCGGTGACGTGGTGCCGAAGGACGTGAACGCGGCCATCGCCGCCATCAAAACCAAGCGCAGCATCCAGTTCGTCGACTGGTGTCCCACCGGATTCAAGGTGACTTCTTCGGGGTTTTTTGTCTGCGGATGCCGCAACACGTGCCATTGATTATCTTTGGCCATACTTTAACCATGCAACGCGACCAGCGATCTTGTCAGTAAATCAATCGTCTAAAAAAAGGGCTCCGCACAAAATTACGCCGACAGGGTACTCCTCCAATCGAGTTGCGTTAGTATCTCTCGTTTAAACAGGCTTTCAAGCGTCAAGTTCGATAGCTCTGTCCCTCTCCCAATAAGGTGTATATAGTTCTTTCAAAAGTGAATGTACATACGACTGTAAAAAGTATTGAAGCTTGCATAGGTCAGGGATGGTGTCTAGTGTCACCCCGAAACCAACATCTAGCAACGGACGAGGTGATTTATTTAACTCGCAGGTGGGCATCAACTACCAGCCGCCGACGGTAGTGCCAGGCGGTGACCTCGCCAAGGTTCCTCGGGCGGTCTGCATGCTCTCGAACACGACGGCCATAGCGGAGGCCTGGGCCCGACTGGACCACAAGTTCGACCTGATGTACGCCAAGCGAGCCTTCGTCCATTGGTACGTGGGCGAGGGCATGGAGGAAGGGGAATTCTCCGAGGCACGGGAAGACATGGCCGCCCTCGAGAAGGACTACGAGGAGGTTGGACAGGACTCGACCGACAACGCCGATGAAGAGTTCTAGCCACGTTCTGGACGCAAATAAAACACGTCAAATTCTGGATGCGCATTTTAATATATGAAGGCTGCGTTTTAGTGCAGCGTGACTGCAAATCGAGAAGCGCTGCTAATTTTTTTTTTCTGCTGCGTTCGGTAGACATTAAAGGACCTTCAAGTACTACTCTTCAGACTTTTCACTAAATTATTCAAGCACCAAGGAGAATGCTCGAAACTTTGTACACCTGTTAATCAACTTGTTTTAGATTTGTTTTAGAGTTACTGCTGAATGCGCCAGCACATCTAACTGCACTTGAAGAGTGTGGTTACAAACTTGTTAATGTGCGCATAGCCCTGTACCCTCGCCTTTTCCTTAAGATGAACATGGTAGCTTACAACTATATATATATATATTTCCGGTACAACGATCCTGCCTTTCGAAACCGGCAGAACTAAACTTGAACCATGGCCGGACCGGACACGTGCTTGCTCAAATCCAGTGCGGCCATGCCTAAACTTAAATTGCCCCCCCCCCCCCCCCCAAAGAAAAAAAAAAAGTATTACGAAGGATATAGTTATAGAGCCCTGCGTGGATGATCATCCGCATCCGAACCGCATCCGCAATGTTCTTAATTGTACCCGCATTCGATCCGTATCCGCAGGCTTTCTATCCTCATCCGAACCGCATCCGAACCGCGTCCGCAAAATTCAGAACTGCATCCCACCATCAGTGCATTCATTTTAAATCATAAAATCAAGCATTAAAAAAAATGGATGGTATTTTTTGAGTCGTCTGTATTTACCTGAGTATAACAAACTCTTCGTATCAGAATGCGGTGAAAGTCACTTCATCGCATTCTGTTTCATTGTATTTATAAAATAAGCGCTTCGCTGAAAAGATGAACGCAGTTATGAGATCGCCTTGGGAGTCCGTGATACTGACACTCTGTCTAGAAGATGCACTCAAAGGTAAAGAAATTTTAATATTTATTTTCCTTTTTGGTTTGTAAAACCCACTTCAAGCAGACAACTATGAAAATTATAAAATGAGAGATTTATAACATTCCGTCATTTTATTTAGGCCAAACAATAACAAAAGTGAAAGAGCTCACTCCCCGCAGCAAAGAACTCATGTATATGTTGTAAGGCGCGAGTACACCATTGTGAAGATATCACGTTATTCAATAATGGCAACACCTCCTTGGGTGCCGTTTTAAACACGAACCCTCAACTGCGTGCTCGGAACCATATACTTAAAAGCAACTCAGTGGAGTCAACTGTCGTGAAGAAATAAAACGTACATTCATTCAAACGTCGAGGTTGCTGTTAGAAGAAACAGAACATCGTCAACATGGACGGATTTAGACGTTCGCCTCTTTTAAATCAAAACCGCTAATGAGAAGTCACTCTCCCTTGATGCGCCTGATGCTGGGATGGCATGCACGAACTGCGCATAGAAATGAAGTGCGGAAGCTCGTGCTGGCGCAAGTTCCACCATTCCAGAAGATCAAATTCAGTCTCCTCGATCTACTTGTAGGCGAAGGGACCACATACAGGCGTCTTCTACTTTCCTTGTGGCTTGTACGTTTTGGGTCTTTGCCCAAAAAACGTTTTCTGCTCTTTCCCTGCCAACCAAAAACACGCTTTCCCAGGACGACTGATGCTCCTGCATTCTTTACTTTTTTTTTTTTTTTTTTATGGACAACATTTTTGGCGAGATAGAACGTTCTAAAGCGGTCTTCGATGAGAAATCTTTCTTTGACATAAAAAATAATTTTCTTCCCCATTGGCACCTTTTATCTAAGAGTGTAGTTTGGTCCCCCAATATACATTTGATAATGCAACCCCCCCCCCCCCCCCCCCCCCTTCTTTATGGGCCTCGGCAAAAAAGTAGATCCAGACACGCGGATGATCCGCACTTGCAGCCCCAGGCAACGGGATCCGATCCGCATTCCGCCAAATATGATTAATTTTTATCAGCATCCGCCAGTTTACTGCGGATATCTGCGGATATGCAGGAAGAAACTGATGATGTCAAACAGCCGCGACCATAGCCGCGGCTGGTGGAATTTTGGTTTCGTTTTAATGCTCAACTCTAGAGAGTCTACTACTTCCATAAAGCCCTGCATGCAACACGGCGCGCGTTGCACTCTGGGAACTAGTTGGCCAGGGAGGAGATTGCCATGGTTTCGGTTTCGATCGACACGTCGACAAGAGATTACACACAGAGCATGGACTATTAACGCCGTTATCTCCTGTTTTCTGGCCCCGAGAGCGTCATTAGTGGTCTCTAAACTAACCTAAATGGTCAGGCCTCGACGCTTTAGCATCTTAAGACATGCTTGTTGTATTTTTGTACTTGAGCCATTCTGTTAGCGTTTCGAGGTATGTGGACGAGCCAGTGTTGGGAATGTCGACGCTGCGAAATTCGGGGTTGGGAATGTCGACGCTGCGAAGCTTATGTACGAATCAACAAGCTGTAGCAACCAATAAGTATGCATACATCGAGCTCGCGCCTTTACATTAGTGTTGTTGATCATGAAGTTTGTTTGTTTCATGCGTCCATAGACGAAATATAACTTTTTGCAATTATTGATTTTCTTAATACGCCTGTGTACGCGTGGTAAAACTCGGAGGTGCCATTGAATTATAACACACTTCTTATCTCTTACCTGTACTGACCCGCAGCACTGCACGAAGCGAAGCTTTCCCACCCACTTGCATTTTACTAATATTCAACATCGCTTATGCGCGTAAAGTTATCCTGCAATCGTATAGGCACATTCGCGCATACAAACTGTTTTAAGAAAGCAAAAGTCGAGCACTTGTGTGAAAAATGTCGCACCATTCGCCAGAAGTACGCCGGACGGGCATGAACCCCTATGCGGTGCGCCAAACGAACGAAATTATTCAAAGTGCATTTGACGGTTGCTAATGGCCACAATATGTGTTATGTGTTTGCTTTCTTCCTGCCTGAGTATGCCGAGATAATTTCAGACACACTGTTCAGGCACAGATCTTCGGCGTCAGTAAAAGCTCGTCCAAAAAGGCTTAGCGAGGAGTAGGGGACGCTTGTTAGGGCCTCTGTCGTAGCTAGCCGAGGCTCAGCGTTTGCGAAAACTTAATCTTCTATCAGCATAAAATTTGAGTGGGAGATATATGATGACACGAGGACGACATCATAATAACTTTGGTGCAATAGTGAGGTCGAATTTATTGCGTTTCCTTAAAAGTTCATGCGTCAACGCTGGGCTCAACTTTGATACTCCTGTGAGGATGCGGCTTGCTTTTCGTTCAATGAAGTAACAAGAAGCGGACGTTTGGCAAACAAAATACGTGTAATGCTCCAGGTGACCGAATTTCACTTGTAGTTCACTGGTGCTAGACGGAATTATTGAAATTGGACTCAAAGATGAGGTAACTAAGCCACGTCTTACTACGTTTGCATACGCACTCATAATATCCGGTGTTTCGGGAACCAAGGAAAGTGCCCCGGCCTTCGTTTTGTATCGCTCGAGAATGAGTGTATTGTACATACGGAAAAAAGTCAGATAATAGAAAACGCAAGCAGCGCGTTCGGTCGCGGCGTGATAGCATGAGATGAATCTGCTCAGTCGAAACCGAAACTGAGTGGCCAACTAGTTCCCAGAGTGCACTGCGTGGTATTTCGCCGCATTGGGGCGCGTCGGTTTTGGAAACAGGCCAAATCTAGAGCTACGTTGAACTGATGACTGGGTTAGAGATTAAAAAAAAAAAAAGAAAGCAGGTCAGCTAGCAATATTTTAATAATAATATCTGACAGTGAATAAATCATATAAAAAAATGTGCTTCCTCAATTTTTTTTTTTTTTTTTTTGTGATAATGATTGGGGTTTGCGTCTGGTTTTAGCATCGGCAGCATCGGCAGCGTGAAGAGTTGGGCAACGCTGGCGAACATGGCGCTTTACGGTCGCGAAAGGGCCGATGCTTTTCTCTCCTCTTTTGGCGCTGCCTGTTCGCGCCTCGAGAAAGGACTCTCAGAGCCGAGCCCGCAGTTAGGAGATCAGCTGCAGGACCTGCAGAAAATGCTAACGGAAGCCGCGGCTTACTTGCCACCGCGCCTTCTGCACCGGGCGCAACAGGACCTGAGGCGTTTGCGGGCGGAGGTAGTCAGCAGTCAGCCCAAGAAGCGCTTTGCCTTCACCACCAAACACAGGTATGCCCACGCTAATCGTGACATTCTTGGTATTTTTAGTCGTGAATGTGTGTGTTCTTTTTATTTATTTCTCGGATATATATATTTTGCTTGAACGGAGTGCACACGAAACGATGGAAAAGGGTGACATCTTGCTGATTACCCAGAAAACGTTGTTCAAACGTTATTCTCAGACTTACCTTCCTGAGTATAACAGAACCTTCCTTGCAAGTGACCGCGCAAGAACGTGGCTGCACTAATGCGGTCATTGACGCCTCCAGTAACAAAAAACTTCAAGCCTTTCCACTCTGGTGACTAATGCGGTCATTGAAGCCTCCAATAACAAAATCTTTCAGCCTTTCCACTCTGGTGAAGAAGGAAGAGCAGCGGAGCTGGTACTATTTGCCGCCACCTGTGAGCGACGGCGGCAATCAGACAACCGGCAGGCCGGTTGACTGGTTGCCGCCGTCGCTCATAGATGGCGGTGGCTGTCCAGGGCATTGTGTTAAATTTATTTGTCCACAGACATGAAACTGGGGAAACTAGCCCTTAACAGCTCTGCTGTAATATCTAGCTGCTATAAGAGTGTTCTTATGCAGCGGTACTGCGACTCCATCTGAAGCCCCGGAGCCACGCAAGCCCGTCCACCAGGTCAGCCTAACCGACAAAGCAGTGGGTCTGCGCCATCGCTCCGGCGAGACTTTACACCTCACAGACGTGGACGGGAAGCCCTTGGAGTTGGACTCCCTCGAAGACTGTTGCATCATCGTCCACGGGAACCCAGCGGCCCTGTTCGCCACCCGGCTCAGCCGCTGCGAGTTGCGCTGTGGCCCGGTGACCACGTCGGCCTTCGTGGAACACTGTCGGGACTCCAGGTTCTGGCTGGCCTGCCAACAGCTGCGAGTTCACGGCAGCAGCCAGTGCCAGTTCCGGATGCACGTCCAGTCCAGGGCCATCGTGGAGGACTCGACCGGGTTGGAATTCGGGGCCTACGACTGGCGGTACGAGGGCCAGGAGGCCCACTGGCGGGCATCGGGCCTTGACCCCAGCTGCAACCAGTGGCGACAGGTGGACGACTTCAACTGCCCGATGGCTCGTTCGCCCAACTGGACATTCCTCGAGGATGACTCGGACAACTCTTTGCCTGTTCATGAACAGCCTTCGTAACTCCAACGGTTTTTACTACCATGCACTTCAAGCTAGGAGGGTGGTGCTACAGCCCAATACTGCTAATATTTATTTACCTCTTTCCTTACCGTGGGAAAACAAACTTTTTTTAAAAGCTTTGCAAAAAAAAAAATAGCGGGGACATTAAAGACTGCTTATGTTTAGGAATGCAAGAGCATTCCTTCATGCAGCGCATTCCTGCAAGCAGCGTGCCACGACTTACTTTTTCACACAACACTCCGGCGGCGACATCACACTCCCCAACTGCACAGGCGCGGCAAACCCCGCCGGCTTCACAATGGTTTCCGTGACTAAACGTCCGGGTTGCTGTGCTTTTCTTCGTTTATTATATCCGAGGTGCTTCCGCTTTGACCTTGAGTGCCACTGCAGGCTTCCGTGATGAAGCATTTACGTTGCTGTGCTTTTCTTTGTGTTTTATTTCTGAGGCATGTGCTTGATGATGTATTGGTGTCACCACCTTTCGAACACAACGCCGCCGCTTGTTCGTGTTATGAGACAAGTAAGACTTTTGCCTTAAAAATGTATTTTCATAACTAATTGAGTTCTGGCACATTATAATACATCTAAATACAGCCAATTAGCTTCCTTTTAAAGGATAATAAAAGTTTATAAAATAAAAAGGTCTGGAAATTTTAATTTCTGAATTTAAATTGAAGTTAAAAAACATTAAAATTGTTTTAAAATGTGTGGCTACATAAAAGCTTGATTTGAATAAAAACAATTCAGAATAGACAAAATGTGCCCCCATATCGCCAGCTACCAGTTCTGTAAGTTGAATCACTCTAGCTGAAACTTTTTTTTTTTTTTTTTGCTTCGTCATCAAGTTAGGTTCCATGGTGCCTGTGGGCAGTTGTGAGACAAAGGCACACCTCACATGTACTGGAAAACAGATTTGTTTTGTGTTCAATCTTGGGCTCTTCATAGTATTTCTTGCAGTTTCGCTTCTGAATTTGTTTCAGGCTTGTGGCACACGTGGTCGGAGGTGTATTGTGGACCTGCTCCTCATCATTATGACCAAGAGCTGCTGGATCAGCTCCTCTCTGAAAGCCAGCTGGTCAAACCGAGGACATAGAGCCAAATCCATAATGTCAGAGTGTTCTTTGCGATGCACTTGGAAAATAATACTCTGCTGCATCACGCGATGACAGCGCAGCAGAGGTTGGTTGCAGGTTGGTCGCGGGGCGCGGTGCCGTCGGGGCGGAGATGCGCTCCGATAACAAACCGAAACTTAAACACCAGTCGAATTTGTGCGGTTTTTCAGAAGGCCGTAAAATGCTTCGCGTGCCTTCAACCGTTCTGCAATTTGATTTAGTGGTTTTCAATGATGCTGAGCAATTTTTTAATTTAAACCATGCCCTTTAACACAATATTAAAAAAAAGTTAATTACGCAAAAATAATTAACAAGTTAATTATCCGGGAGTTTAATAATTTTCTTAAATGGGCCCCTGGCCCAGGACCAAAACGCCACAAGCCTTTTCGAAGTAGTTTTTGCAAAAGCCGATTTGGCCTGCGTTCTCTGAAATGCCCTGTATATAAAAGCATGAAAAATGAAGCCTTTCGGCACTCTTCTGTTGGGGTGAAAATTCCCAAAACCCCTCTTCTCTCTCTGGTGCAAACGGATCGGGCCACTTAGCCTGATCCGCTTGCATGAAGGACGGCAGCTGCAACGCAGCCAAGGTGCAGTGGTGGTCAGAGGGGCTAGGACGTACTTTGGCTGCCACAAGGCTGCATGCACAGGAGCCCCAACGTGACTTAATATCTAGTAATGAGCCATCCGCAGACTGTTGCTGCATTTGAACGAGGGGAGGGGAGGTTAACAAGCGCCCCAGTGATACACCTGCTGTCCCCCGCTGCACGGCGCCAAAATTGGCGAAGGGGGAACGTCGCCAGTGGGGCTGCAGTACAATCCCGTGGTGACGTTGCGAACTCTCTAAATATGTGCCCCAAACATGTCCAAGGTCGGTGCGTGTACCAGGGCACCGATGCTTTAAGAAAAAAAGAAGGAAGATAGAGAAATTTATTTTAAGCAATATTTTATTCGGTACAGCTTGTGGGAGAAGTGAGGAGGTAAACTTGTGTTCAGCTTTACGCCGATGGTCCTGAATTGGTCCGCGAAGGGTAGCATTATTCCAAAGGAACATACTCCAAAGCTTCGCTGATAAAAGCAGGCAGGTCGCTGTTCTCAAAGTCCAGGAAAGACTCTGAAATCAAAGATTGGTAATGTAGAGAAGTGTTAAAAAGTGTTACTTTATTTGTATTCAAAAACATTCTCTTGAGAGGGTGTTGGTGGCATGATTTAACATGTTTAACAGCAAAATCACTATAATGATTTCTAGTTGCTTTAGGTTCTCACTGTTTTCTCATTCTTTTTTATAGAAACACTGTTGGGGCAGCCTGGAAGGGCTATCAGTATTATAAAGAAAGAAAGAAATGGGGGTAACATCTTGCACAAAACTTCAATGCAGTTCTATCTCAAAATGAAACAGAGGAGCTGTCTCGTTGTTCAAACGCATAGACACAAATGGAACAGTACTAAAAGGAGAGCTAAGGTGAGATTGTGCCTCCAAAGAGAATGCAGGAAGAGGCAGTCACCTGGTAAAGTAGCCAGCAAGGGAGACGGGGACCTGGGAGGTGTGGCTGACGGGGCAGACGCCTTCCATGAGCGCCCAAACACATCTCGCAGCATGCCCAGCTCCCCATCGCCCAGGCACAGGTCGCCCAGCACCGCCCACTGGGGCTCTGCGGCAAGCAGCCACCAGCTCTCACGATTTGAAGGGCACAAAATCCTTGCATAAATAAGGTGACCGAGAAACTTCAAGGGGGAGACACTAACTTAAAAGTGCAATTTTTCTTAGAAGTTCCATCTTAACCGAGTGGTCTCGTCAACTTTCAAATGTCTCGAGGGATGCTGTCAGAAAATTTCACTCCGGCAACTAAAGTTTTTTTTTTTAATAAATGATTTTTTACTTGTTAGTATCATCTAAAGTGCAGTTTTTTTAACATTCAAACACATTTATACTCTCTATATCTCATACTTTTTGGCATCAAATCTCTGTTTAGGATGTGTAAAGCCAGTTTTTTAAGTCTGTACTCAAAGTTTGTAAGAAACGTGGTTGTGAGCTTACTTTATGCATTTTCATGGATTTTTTTGTTATGAAAAACTGCAGAATCTTCGACCTAGTGTGTGCAAATAAAATAACTTTTCCTAGTTTCTATGTTTTAATAAAAATGGTATGTTTTTGTAATTACTTTGGTATAGCAGCGTGACACTGGCGTTATACACCACCAAACAAAACGAACTGGCCATTATCACTACCTTTTCTATACTATAGTTTTCCTAAGGAGGCACAGTGTTTATTTGATGTATAGCTGTGCAGATACTAAATAACTCCACAGAAGCAGGCGCTTTTTTCTGAGGAGCGCTTGAGGGGTGGTTTACGTTTGAACAGGCGCTGATGTCAGGACTCGTCCATGTGGAGCAGATAGGAGGGAGCCCATCAACGTGAACTGCCATTATCACCTGTGCCCGTGTCACAGTGGTTTGATGGAAAGCTTGAGAGGATTCTTGAAACGGCAGATGATAACGGTTTTTCATATTTTTAGATTTTTGTAATTTTTTTTTATATTTAGGATGCTTAGGGCTTTTAGAAACAGTTATGATCTAGAACAAACCGTAGAATGCTCTTTAATAGCCCCTTTAAAGCTTTGCATGCCATGCTCTTTCCCAGCTATGAATATGCCCTGAAAATTTCATACGAAGACGAACGGTTAAAAGTTTGCCTGTATGAGTAGTGTTCTTTAATTAAGGGGACACCCTGTAATTTGAAGATTCTGTCAAATCTGATCCGATTTGGATGAAATATCTATGCCTAGTCTAACTTTGAGTGCTTAGCACAAATCTACTCTTAAGAGTTTTTATTAGCCTATCTCTTATACTTTGAGAGAAAATCTTAGATTTATGGCCCAACTTTCCTACAATAGCCCTATAAAAAATATGTCTGTGCAGTAAACAAACAGTAGAAAGTGCAGCAAAGCAATTTTTTTGTTAGCAATATCAGACCAAAAGTTATGACACAATTGTTTTATGGACAATTAAAAATAAATCATACATATTACAATTAAAAAAAAATTGTGGTACAGGTTTTTTAGGTAGCTTGAGTCTTGTTACACACTCCGATTTCTGAGCTCTTAAGCCTAAAAAGAATTATCCAGATCCTCATTCTAGATTCCAAGATACCCTGGGCAAAACTGTGCTGTGATGAAAAAACGAATTCTGCGGAAACAAGGAAAACAGTAGCAAAATATACATGAACGATGTATAGGACACTGCCTAGAAACCACCAGGAATGCAATCCTGGTCATTCTCTTGCCCGCGCTTTTCTTTTCATAGCTTGCGTGAAGGTTTGTGCACGGGCAGTTCCCTGTTGGAAACAGTCAGTCGCTGATGGCCTTCTCACTTTACCTCCAAGCATTGGCTGTGACTCGGTGTAGATGGAGCTCCTTCAGACTTGCACTGGCGGCATGCTGTTTGCCGCAGTTGAATCCGAGCGCAGCTTGTGCAACTGCACATTTTATGCTGAACAAGCGTGAAACTTTGAGGAAAGCGACTATATCGCGGAGTGGCTTTCGTTGGCCGTCTGCGTTTTTGCACGTTGGCACCTTTTCAAGAGCTGGTCAAAGAGGCGTGTATAGATGGGCAACAGGGCATCACTCACATAGTATAGCAGGGATATAATGATACTTTGGCGGGGTTTCAATTCTAACAGCAGCATTTTGATGGAAACCACAAGGTCTCCCCAGTGGTATGGATGGTTGGGCACTACAAGGTGTCTCCTGTGTAAAGTGCATGGTTGGGCTTCGCATCAGACGATGTGATGTGATAATACGATGCAATCATCGCTCTTCGCATTTTTTCAATAATGCCCTCGTGCGACTACAATGCCATAGGCATTGTAGTCGCACATTGCGAGCTTAATACATTGCGAGCTTAGTGATGAGATCAGCAGTCAGTTTCCCTTTGCCATCAAGGCTTTGCTTGCCTTCACTTCTCTGGTTCTGCACAAAGTTATGGAGTGCAGAGCCTGTTTTTCTTGCGGATGTGATTGACACAGTCCTCTTTTTCTACTTCCACAAAGCCACACACCTTGGCATCCTGAAGCACATTGTATGACCGACTGTCGCCATCACACACAGCCGTCTAAGTATAGTCCATGCTTTGCAAGCCAACAGTCGAAGAGAATAGTTGCAGCATCAACCTCGATATTCCCTAGCTTGCTTGAGCTGTTCCTCTGGCAGACGTGAGTGTTTTTTCACTCTTGGTAGGCAAGATCACTTTCCTTTGGTCCAATATCGCAGCCCAGGTAAAAATTGGACAGGACAACAAAGTCAAGCACGTTGCCGGAGAACAGTTCAATAGTGCTTCCAATGCCTATGTGCAACGAGTGACTCCGGGCCATCCAGGTTTCATTGAATAAAACAACTATGTTTCCAGGATTTCCGAAGTTTAGGTCTCTGTAGAGAGTTTTTACTGCTCCCGTGCACTCGCTCATCGCAGTTTCAGCAGCCTTCTAAGCTGCCCGATTGATCTTCTCCTTTAGACATGTTTGGAATGTCTTCTTGTACAGACCTCTTTTTGAAATGTGCATTGCAGAGAAAAGCTTGTTCAGCACCGTTTGTCCGCTTCTGGTACTGACAACAGCAAGCAATGCGAGAATGTTTATCTCGAAGGACTTGCATGTCGCGTTTCCCTTCCCCCTAGAAGAACTCCACTCACATTTAAGTTAATCGCACTTTACACAGCTTAGAATCAGCTTCACTGCAATCCTGTACTCCCGGTCTCCTTTTAACATGTTTACAGTACCTCCACAAACTTTGCACTTGACACACTCAAGAAGCGAATTCACATCCATTAAGCTTTCAACAGTGAAGGCGGTGCCGACGCCCAGCAGATCTGCTTTTTTGTCGAGAAGATTTGTGATGTGTAGCCGAGACGAATGACAGCTTTTTTTTTTTTTTGCTTCAAATGTGTGATGTTCTATCTCCATGCGCTCGGCTTCGGAGATCAGAATCGTGTCCATGCGAGTCGTTCCGCTTTCAGCCATGGAGGAGGTCGGACGCGCGGACGCACTCTCGGCAGCTTGGCGCGCTGGCAGAGCGGATGCCGATGGCTTCGAAGTTCCGAATGACACTTCAACTACGGGTCGTCTTTTTCGCCATTTTCCAAACTTGTGAGCAGTTCTAAACTTCCAACAACCGCCAGCCATGGTCACGCGACTAATCCAAAATGGAAAACGCGCCTAGCAGTCGAAATTGCATAGCTTCCAATCAGAATGTACCATTTCCCACATGGGACAAAAACACTCCAGTGGCGAAGCAGTATTAGAGTTTTCTTTCTTTTCTATGTTCATTGCTGACAGACGTAGGACCTAGACTGTGCTAAAAATAGATAGCTGAAGGAAGCAGCTTTCAAGTGATGCCAAAATGGTGGCATTCCACAATTTGTTCCCCGCACAGGATCCGGCTGAAAATTGCCTTTTTTTCCGGGTTTTTGTCGCAGTCTGATATGTGACTTTAAAATGATGTAATACAAACTTTGCCGATGTAATAATGGGTTAAAATGTAGCTGGGGCTCACTAATAAAAAAAAATGACATGTTTTTTAAATTTTTTTTACAGATTTGGGTATTCTTTTAAAAACAGGCACATTGATGCTCAATTTGCTAAAAATATTGGGGCCATAGAAGCAAGTGGTTGCATTGCATTTGTCTCACGCCATAGATGTGACAATGCTAGGTATTACAGTACACTCTGGCGGAAGAGTTGGACCGAATTCAGTTAGTATTCCCTTCACTTTAACCGCAGAAGTTGATAACAAAACTTGTACTAATCTCCAATCCTCAAACTGTGTTTCACTCTTCATGTTAGCTGGTACAGTTAAGTAAATGCATGCACAATTAGTGCGTAAATTCTAGTGATTAGTTTGGTTGCATCCTTTTTGCATTAGGCTTGCAAGCTTAAACTCTCATGAATTCCCTCCCCCCCACAGCTCTGAACATGTGAAAAGAAACAAACCCTCAGTGGGCTCTGGGAACATTCCTTCGATGTCGTCATCAGAATCGTTGGTCCCAACCTGGACCAAACAAGCAACAGAGAGTGGCAATGCAACAAATTGATTAATAATTTAAAGAAGAAAGAAAAACACGGCAGCTCTGACGTGATGGCCGAGGAGGCATCTTGACTTACATTGATGTCCGGTACTAGAAGGAAGTTCTCGTCCAAGCTGACGGGGGGAGATTGCTTGGAGCAGCGAAAACCTGTAAACATTCCATTCAAATGTTTACAACATAGAAAATTGTCCCAATGGCCCGATTGTCTGAAGCAGTTGCTACCTTCCAAGGAAGATGGGTGAAGAAACGTGCCAAGAACTACCTATCTGGGTTCTGGGACCACTTACTCTGTATGGGAGAATCGTCCTCCGGTACTAGGTCATCCTTTGGAGCTCCTGCACACCCCCACAAAATCCCACAAGTCAGCAAAATGTGCAAATGCAATCCACATAGCCAAAATGCTACCCAGGCTCTTCAGAAACAGCTTTACTTATTGGCACCAAGTTCACGAGTGCCGCTGATTTTTTGCAACACAAAAATGGACGAATGATCCATGCAGTGATGCAGTTGGTTCGAGTCATTTTGGAGCAGCCAAAAGTTCATTTTGGAGCAGCAAAAAACCCTCTTGGAGCCTTGTGGTATTTAAGGTAAACAAAGCATTTTCATTCCTACCATGTGTTGGCTTGTCAAATTAAAAGACATTTTCTAATCTGCCTTCTGTGCGACCTTTTATTATCAATAATTGCATGGCAGATTTGGTTCCCTCACACACAGAACTAGCTGTTTAGTTGTGAATAGGAACACCAGACAACATCAAGCTGCTGAATAATGAACTGCTTGGAATGGGTGTTTCAGATATCGAGTCTAAGGTAAACCAAATAATATACCGATGGAAATAATGTTACAACAGAATAATATTAAGCCCCTACAATGATGTTCTCAGTTCTAACAGTTCTAATATAACTAATTCATAACTATAAAAAAAAGCTGTTGTCATTTGATTACAAACACCAATTACATTTTATAGTTAGAACTTTATGATAACAAAAACTGGCATGTGAACGATAAATATTCCTCCTTAAAAAAGCTCCTGAAAAGAACATTTTCTTTTAACATTCTAGTTTGGACACGCAAGGTGTAAAAAATAAATATTAAACGAAAAAAAAACAACAAAAAAAACAACAACATTTAGAGCAGTATTGACAGCGAGAGATTTATTTAAAATTCTGCGTGAAAAGTCCATGACATGACAGAATGGTCATTCGCTCATTCCACCTCAATATAAAGGCGAAGCTGATCCACCTCTCCTCCATGTGCCCGAAATGCCCAGAAGGAAAACAAGTGGAAAGGAGGTGATTACCGACTAAATGACATCTCGCGCCGTCAATATTGCTCTAAATTTTTTTTTTTTGCACTTAAAATTAATTTTTTGACACGCGTGTCTTGCCCAGACAGTTAAAGATATTTTTTTCTTTTCATTTTTCTTTTTACATTTAGCCAAACTCATTAAATTTATTCAAAAGTATCCACTCAGTACCCTCAGCTAATTTAGATTCAATTTACTCTACTCACTACCACTGCAAAGATGGAACCCATAAAGGTGAGAACTACACAAGAAAGTTCATATGAAAAATAAATGAAGGGAACAGTCCATATAAACTCACAATTCCTAAGTATCCTCGATAAATCAAATTTGAAAAAAGATTGTCAGAAAAATTTTTGCTGACTATCATAAACACTAGCCTCAGTCTTATTTCAAAAGTTTTTTGAAAGGCAGAGTTGTCAAATGAACACTTACGGATATCTTTCTTTTTTATTGTTTTGAATACACAAAATGCCTGCGAGTGCGACATGCTACTCCGGAGGACAGATTTCCCGTTAGCATGCGGGTGCTCTGCGATAAAGCAAATTATGCAGCATCGTGATGCCTACATTGCGGTTCTCGCTTCACCTCAATGCACCAAAGCGCGGAGAGAAGCGCACTCAACGAAGCTAACAATTCTGCTACAACAAACGACACGAACAAGACAAATATTGCGAGGCTTCCGAATACTGTCAGTGTAACAGAGTTTGAAGGTGGGCTAGTCGGTGCTTATTGGGAACAGGAGAAAACGGCACGAAGAAGACACAAGGACAAGTAGACGAAAGGCAGAGTGCTACGTTGGTGTTTTGTCTACTCGTCCTTGTGTCTTTTTTGTGCCATTTTCTCCCGTTACAGTCAGTGCTTGACACAGCCATAAAAATGAAATTCGAGGCGATAATCAAAAGTTTTGAAAATTCGCGGAAGCCTGCCGTAAATATCTGGCCATGTGGCGGGGCCTCAGCTATTATAATTTTAGTAATAACAAAGTGAAATTAAGTTTTGGCACAATGTTAGCACAAATTCATCATATTTTGGTGAAACATAGCAATATGTGCAAGGGCAAGCACTTTGGCACAGCAATCAACAGTCAATGCGAACAAGCTGCAACGAACGAGCATCCACTGTCCAATATGGCCAGATGTGCCATCATTTCTGAAGCAATTATGACCTTATATAAACTGCACTGCTAACATGACTCTGTTCTATCCAGCCATAACATGCCAGGGTGGCCCATTGCAAAATTCAACAAAAAGCACCACACTCAAATATATGATCATATTAATTTCAAAGGTGAGGACCATTTCAAAAGCCCTTTTAGCATGGGCTGCAAGTTTGAAAAACAGAAAAGAACTAGCATATCCTATCTAAAAATTTGGAGGAAGATTCAAATGTTTAGTATGTTTGGCCCATCTCGTGGAAACATGCGAGCACCTATCGAACATTGCGACAAACCTGCAAATAAAACGTGAATGTTTGCTTCGTTTAACACTCCACTGTCAAGAACCGTCAAGAATCATCAATTGCAGGGCATGTTTTCCCCTCCCACTGCAAAGATGGCAAAGAACCATTACCAGATTCTCGCACTTGTGCAAAAGAAATCATCCGAGAACCAGCAGTACCGGTCATCATTTTACGCCAAAAAAACATAAGCTTACCTGAGCAGTCTTCGCCAGAGGCTGTGACCGAGGGCTCTTGAGACAGGGCACTCCAACTGGTTGACAGTCCCAGCCGGCTCGGCCGTACACCAGGCGCAAAGCACGACTCAGCCTTGAGGTCGAGAGCCTTGAAAGACTCGGCTGCAATCAATTGCCCACATACTACAGCGGGAAACAGAGGGACCAATGGCTATCTGAAGGGACCGCATAAACAGGTTTCTGAACATATCGAGCCAGGATTTTTTACAGAGGTTGTACCAGTCTGCTAAAGCCTACAGTACCAGTCTGCTAAAAAAAAAGGGTGTCCGATTGGCACAATAGCCGACAGATGGCGCCACATAAGATTGCGGGTGGCTACAAGCGGACACGAGGGGCGCTTCCCTCAACTTCGGCAATAGCAGACAATGTTTTTGAGCCGGAAGCGATGCACTCTTTTTCTGCCCACATTGTCCAGTGCACAATTATTTTATTCTACCGATAAAACATACAAAATTAAGATAAAATGAGAAAAACAAAACAGTTTTTTTTTTTTTTTTTCAACAATTATTTTTGGCTACATGTCGCCATCTGCTTTGCACTCACTGGTTGTTACAGCGTCTCTTTTTGTCGGCAACTTATCTGTGCTGTTTGGGATGTGCCATCTGCATGGTGCGCTTAGCCCCCAACAAGCAAGTGGTGGTTGCTTTCTGACACGGGGAGTGCCAGAGGACGAAAGTGGTCTGCCGATGTTTTTGGGTGGAGTTCCGGCAGTGACCTCTGGTCTCCCCTACAATTCTATGCTGGGTGAAACGCTTCAAGGAGGACGGAAACCTCCAAAACAAGCCTTTGACAACAGTGGTGTCATCGCCAAAGTTGACACTGCCGACCCCCACTTGTCGACGGGGAAAGCATCGCCTCCGTATGTCGGCTGTTGCATCAATCGGACGCCTTTTTTTTAGCAGACGAACGCCGTACGTAGGATCTGAAGTTTTTGATTTCAAATTTTTTAATAAGGTAGGTTAGTTCGGTTAAGTTTCTTATAACCTTAATGCTTGTCCTTTGGCCACCCCCATACAATATATTAGCTCGATACGTCTAGAAACAGATTTATGCAGTACCTTCAAAAAGCCATCTATTGGTTTGCATATGGTGAAGCTGTATAACCAGTCTTGTGGGTAATCCTTTCCCAAGACCAACCCTTCCCTGTTGGTGTAGGATGTGCTGAAAAATTCTGTGCAACAGTTAAAGAGGTGTGCTTCCAGAAAATACAGGGATGCTCAAGTCACTGTCCGTGCAGGTGAAACATTTCTGCAGCAGTCTTGTTTAGGAAACCAACAATTTGCAATATATGTATAAAATTTAAGCTTATCAGCTTACTGGTCACAGCAGTCAACATGTGGGGCAACATTGAACTGCCCGCTTTATGGGGGGTGCCAAACAAGAAATGCATGCTTTCGCGCTCTTTGCAAACATTGTAAAGCCCTATCATTAAAGAACAAAAATAAATCTTGAGGACTTATCGACAATGTTACCATCAAATAAGTGCGATGTGAGCGGTGCCTTGAAAATTATTTGCCATAACTCTTATCAAGCCAATGTAACGTGTGTCAGCAACCCCCGATGGGGTGGGAAGAACACCCCTTAAACGAGTTGTTTCACGTTTCCCCCCATGACTACCGTAGATTTGTCGCCGCAAATGTCGCCAGTCGAGCTTTCGCCGGAGAAAGCTGAGCAGTCCCACATTATGGACAAGTTTGATCAGCACTGCGTCTTGCATTTAAAAAGCTACAGCAGAAACAGATTTTTCATGGCAACCAACATTTCTCGCTCGCTCGAATCAAGTATTGTGCGCGGCAAGAAATGGCGAAAATAGATCACTCTCTCTACCAACGTCGCGGTGTGCAGTTGGCCGTGCCCCAATGAAAGCCATCAATAAAACTTGTTGAACTCTAGTATATATGCGTTACCTACCCTTATTGACATTTCTTTCCACTTTCAAACACAGGTCAGCATGGCTCTCTGCACTGCCAGATTCCTGAAAATGGCAAGTCAATTTGCTCTGAACTACATGGAGCTGGCTATACCTCAGGCAAGCAGCATGTCCATTACAAATTGGTACGGCAACAAAGAAAACACTTTCCTTTTGTATATATCTTGTCATCTCAAAGACTTTAGACACTAAAGATGAAATATAAAAGGCCCACATTCACGCTCCGGCCACATTCAACGAATGTATGACCACCCACCTATAACTCAATATAGGGAGTATTCACTGGACGCCATACTTGTGGGTGCTGTTTAAAGCGCATGCTCACATCAATAGGCTGCTAAGACCGGCACTCTTGATGGTGCGGAATACACGTTGCAAAAGAACTCTGGAAGCTCGCCATCAGCACGCGCTCAGCATTCGCGCACACAGCTATGGCCGCCAGTGAATACTCCCTATACATTTTGCACAGGGATGGGAGACAGACACAATACAAAACGGCAATTGATTGATGTTGGCAAGCCTGAAAGAACAAAAGCTGTGCTAACCCACCCGTGAGCCCAGCACATTGCAGCCTGCAGGGGCCAGCTGGCTACTGTTGGGGGCCAATGCCTGGCGGCTGGTCTTGCTAAGGAGGGACTTTGCCACTGGTACCTCTCTAGGCTCCACTGCTGCGAGAAGGGCAAAAAGATCAGCAAATGAGGGGCCTGGGGCAAGTGGAACAGGGTAGAGCTTCAGTCAAAGGCAGACTGGACTGACACTGATAGCCAACAGTATTAGGTGAATCAGCTGTGAGATGTTTCATTGCACAATTCACATGGTTTCTTATTTACAGAATGGCAGTGAGCCAGGTAACTGGCAGTATTGGCTGACGCTCCTGCTTGGTGCATTGTTGCCATGCAAGTTCATTCATTACACCCTTTATCAACATTTAACGCTGTCCACCCTGTCACCAGTACGCCTCACAACATAGTGATAATAGAAAAAAACTAGTGGCATGCCCTAGAAATTTCCTTTTCGGGAAGGGGAGGAAGTTGAGGTGCTTGGGATGTCCATGATTTGGGGGTGCGGGGTGGAGTCAAAATACATGTGTACATGGGCGTACCGACCAGGGGGGGCAAGGCCCCCAGTTCTCAGAGTTGGGGGGCAAGGCATGTGCTTTGGCCCCTTAAAACAGCCGTCACGGGGCAGGGCAAATACTGGCCGGCGGCGCCCAAGGGATACCAAGGGCACCACCCCCCGGCCCTGAGGGGGGAGACTGGGGTTTGAATTGCCCTCCCTCCCTCCCTCCCCCCCCCCCTCCCCCCCCTCCCCCCCCCCCCCTCCCCCCCCCTCCCCCTCCCCCTCCCCCTCCCCCTCCCCCCCCCCCACACACACACTCAAAAACAAGTTGGTACACCACTGCATGTGTATATTATAGGGTCGGCTAGCTTTTGGGGGAGGGGGCGATAAACTCTCTCACTCCTGGTTATGCCACTGTAGCAAAAGGATATGGAACCCTTAATTAAGAGAATGAGAGAGAACAAAAAAAAAAATGAAGACGTAGTCTAGCAAGTTACAAGGTGCGTAAAAATCATGTTACCAAAAAAAAAAAAAAAAAAAAAGCGAGGGCATTGCGACTTAAGAGGAAACTGTGGTAGACTTATTTCTGATGTTCCAACAAATCTTGGCCGAAATAAAGCGGCGCTGTTAATTCAAGTAGCACGTTTACGTCAAACAGACAGGTTGTCGGTTAAAACCGAAAATTATGCGTCGAGAACCCACGATATTCCCAGCGCGCACAAAAAGCCGTCGCCGAATTGTACAGAGTAGCAGTGGCACAGGCAGACATACATCAGAATGGCTGTCCTCAACCGCGGACCGAGATAGCAAAGATTTACTGACCGGCACGGGAGCGAATGGGGGAAGCCATGTCGCCTGCTGAAGAAAGAAGTCCTCCGCTCGGCACTCAAAACCAGAAAGCGAGTGGGTGAGACCACCCGGCACCAGGCCCGCTAAGAAAGAGGAGGGCGGGTCAAGAGATTAAAAAGGAGATTAATGGTAGCTAAAAATCGGGACCATGATAGGGTGCAGTGGTTGCAGGAACGTTTGAAAGAGCAACTGAACGAAACACCCGTGTCGTCCGTTTAAACGTTGTTTTGTGATTTTTTGCTGACTTGGGCTTGGATTGGATTAGTTTGGATGGATAGCTAAAGAAAGAGTTGTCACAGTGTTGACTTTTTCAACATGTTGTTGACATCGTGGGGAAAAAAGGGAAAAAAAGATACTTGGATTGAGGGCGTTGGTAATCATGAAAAACAACAGATATATCATTCGTTATTAGACGCACATGTGTAATTAATATTTAAGATACAGTTAAAAGCAATGATTTGTTAAAAGTCAGCGAGCCCTTACCGCCCTTTTCCCTTACCCTTACCACTACTTACCTCCTTACGTCAAGCCAACCTTTGATAAGTTCAATGGTGGGAGTTTCGATCGCGACAAATCTGTGTTTCCTTTTGTAGCTTCGAAAGATACGGGTTTCGTTGTGCAGCCAGTGCAGATTGTCATCGATCTCAGAGTGTGGAGCACACACCGTGGTGTGGAGCTTCCAATGACACCAGCCCGTTTGTTCAGAAGAGACCTCGGGGAAGAGACGGGCGTAAAGCAATGGCTAATGTCAGGCAGGTAGGCAAAAGCGTTCGACCGAGAAAGTAAAACGCAGTTTTTCGGCCCGCAAAAAATAAGCTACGCATTGCAGAAAGCTGAAACTCCGCGAGAACATGACGCTTGCGAGGGTGATAAAAGTTTGAGACGCTTGCCAGATCGCGATCTCGTAACTTGGCTAAAGGAGGCGTACTCTTCATCTGCAGAGCTGTTACGTGCTTTGCTCCGTCGAACGGATTCGTTTACATGGATCGTAGCTTTCTTCCTTGACCAGGCGATGCTGAAAGCGAGCATTGACTGAGCAAGCCTGTCTTTTATGACTGCATAATTTTACCACTGAAAAACTTGTAATTGGGCTAGTTGGTGAACGTTAGAAAAACTAATAGACGCACACAGGCACATCTGTGTATGTCTTCTTGCTTGTCCGTTTTGCTTTTTTTTGTGTCTTGCACCATGTTTTATAATTTTACCCGCTGCCCATTTGAAAAAAAAAAAAAAAAAAAAAAAACGTTCTAAAGCATTGCGCTAGTTTCCTATGTCTAACCATAAAACAGTGATGCATATATAATGTATTTACCCCCCCCCCCCCCCCCCCCTTATGTGATGTCCTTCCCAGAAGGACCTTTAAGGTATTTCAATTAATAAATAAATATGCAAGCTGGTGCAGGTTTACCATTTTAGTAAACCGTCTGAGGCTGCGTGGAGAATACAAAAGTGGAAGAGAAAGGAACACAATGTGTTGCCTTCCGTCATTCTTTCCCCCTCTCTTCGACTTTCGGTTCTTCGTATTCCTATGTGCATTCCTGTTGTTCATTGTCAGCAGTGAGTATTTTCCTCTAGAGAATGTGGCTGTGAGTGTCTCGGCTTCCGGCGTTCTTCAGGATGCCAATTGCACGAACAAGGTCACAGCGCTGCACACCTGCATACTCCTGGGCCATCGGACAGATCTGAAGAGGCTCCTCGAAGAAGGCGATGCATCGATCGAGGCCAAAGACCATTTCGGCAGGACACCTCTCTTCTACTGCGTCATGGTGGACAACGCCCAGTTCCTGTCCCTGCTCCTCAAGGCCAAGGCACGGGTGGACAATGCCGATAACGGCGGGCAGACGGCACTCCATCTGGCGGCCCGCAAGGTGCCGTTAACCTCCTCTCTCTGGGCAGCAGGGCACTGCACATCATTGGATTATCAGAGTGCATCATGTCTCGTGGTTTAGAGGGGAGGGAGGGAGGGAGGGCAGAGTATTGGTAGCATACGTTTGTGAGAATAATCTCTTAACTGTGTGGCTTACTTTTTTTTTTTTTTGCACTGCAGTTGATGTGTTACTGTTTGCTTCCATTTACTAATGGGTAGCCATCGCATGGAAAGCTTGTTCTTTGTCAGGTCTCGTAAAATGCATAGAAGGAACTGGCGGCTATGTTTGCTTCCATTTTGGTCGGAGGCTTCATATAGGCTTGGTTTCTCTACGCCGTAAATGTCGTTTAACTCTGAGGAGAGGCTCGTGGGACATTTCTCTTCAGGGCCTCAAGGGGTGCATCAAGCTGCTGCTGGCTGCCAATGCGTTGTGGGACCAGAAGGACGCCGAGGGCGTCACATCCCTGCACCTGGCTGCCTCAAATCGCAGACCTCAGGGCCTGGCTTTGCTCCTGGGACAGGTGCTCAGGGGACAGGTGGACCTTCAGGACGGGCACAAGGTCTGGCAGTACTTGGAGACGTGCTTGCAGTTACGGTGCCTAGAACGTGACTTCGGCCGGTACGGTTACGGTCCCGTACCGTTCCCGAAATAGGGGCAGCTATTTGCATCCCAGGAGTTGGCACGTCGAATGTCGGGATCCCAACGGTTGGTCGTAGAAATGGTGGCAAAAAAGACGAGCGGATGCAAGGGTTGCGGCATCCCATTTCGTGCCTGCTATTGTTTTCATCGTTTGTCTGGCTGCAGAGCAACCTGCAATGAAAGAGGCGTCTGCCATTTCCGCCTCTGCTGCTGTGCCTCCGCCAAGATCGCAGTAGGCAAAGGCATGACACTCTTTCAATGTCATTGGGTGGAAATCGAGGGACCCCCCTTTGAGGTCACGGTCGACAGGCCAGTTGGAGATGAATTTCAGGCACCATATCCGCAACCACCAGAAGCCTGTTGCACTGCCTCGAGTGGGTCGCCAAACCATTTAGAAGTCGTTTTCGAGACGGCATTGTTGATTGGGATTGAACTAAGAATAATGTAGATGACTCCAAACCTGGATAGGACTGCAAGCGTGCTGCCAAAGAGAGACCGTTTCAGCACTTTTGTTTTTTATACGTCTTGGCAACACCGCATCATTCATTTGCCTAGGTGGCGCAGGCTACCACCTGTCATGGATCAGTGTCTGCTTTGTTCCGTGGGTGGCGCCATGTTTGTTTATGCTGACACCATGACTCGGTAGGGGTGCTGCACGTTTTTTTGCAAGAATCGGGTTTTTTGTAGAAAACTTCGCACATGTTGTAGTGAAAGAACGTCAGAAATGTGTAGTCACAATGTTTTAAGAATAACACCGATGCGAACTCTCCCGCTTCCAAAAAGCCGACTTGTAAATCTGACCAATGCAGCATCGGGCACAGCTTCGGTAGCCGCCATCGGCCATATTAGCCATCGGCCACTGTGCCGCAGCTGTATCTCGGTGGCGCCACGAGTGGCAGAAGTTACGACATTGACTTTATCTTCTGCCGTCTGGCATGGAGCCGTTTTGCCCAACTCAGCCCCCCCAAAAAACAGCCATTCTGTCTTTAAGTTGTTAAAGTTATTTTGCATTTTTATTTAATAAGGTGTGCATGTACGGTTGTAGTCACTGACCAGTTGATTGAGCAGCGAGTACAGACTCAATTAAAAGGCTTCTGAAACAATAAAAAGAAAGAAAAGGGCAGAATGGCTGTTTTTCTCGCCGTTGAGCTGGGAAAAACAATACTTTTGTTATGTTTCAATGGAATTGTTTTAAGGGGAGGCACGGCCTAGGAATCGCAATTTTTTCAAAAAAGTCACATTTTTGGAAAATAGGCTGACCAGCTTTTACAACTCATAAAGAATGCTGTCCAAAAATTTTATTCCTGTAAGTAAAGTATTTACTCCGAAATAAATTATTTTCGACGTGCTGGGGGCCGCATGTGCGCGCTGACGACGCAACCAATTACGAAAATGTGCCATTTTCAAAGCGCGCTCCCTCCGCGTTTCTTAGGACTAGCATGGACAGGCCCCCCCTCGTTGGAATGAGCGTCTCGACCCCTTTCGTTCTGTTCGCAGCATTGTTCGCGATATCGCGCTCACAGACCGTAAAACCCCGTAGAAAACATAGCTGTGCACGCTCTTATTGGTCAAGCTGGAGAAACAAGAGCTTCCTGATCCGCTAGGACGAGCCACGTGACGTGGCTCGTCCTAGCGAATCAGGAAGCTCTGTTGGAAATTGGCATACAGCCAGGAAGCTACCAAGCGTCATACGGAGAGAGGGCAACCAAGATGAAGGTTGCGAAGGCCCAAGTGAAAGCGCTCGAGTCCTCCAAGATGTCCCACAAAAAAAGGAAGATGGAAGCTGTGGCCAAGGCACAGAGGGACCGTGCAGAGGAAGGAGTGACATATGCCCCTGGAGCATTTTAGATGAAATGGCAAGCCCCATCTAAACTAAAACACTGTTCGAACTTTCAAACCCGTTTTTCTCAGCTTCATGTTTTCACCATTTTTTCACAGCTCTAAAACTATTGTTCGATGAGTTAAGCGCCCCCAAGTCTAATGTATGGCTTTTTTGGCATGAAATTTACTGGAGAACTCGGCTATGCGCTTACTTTTTGCAAATTGTTATTTCTTCACACAAAAATGTTGACGTTTGTGACAAGAAAAAGATTAAAAATTCATACCATTATTGAAAGTTAATTTTTACATGAAATATGGCCTTAAAAATTATTTCAAGCCTACTACCGATTAGTTTAGTCATTCAGCGTTATATCCCAACAAAGAAATTGTGCCTTTTTATTAATATTTTGAAACGATAGTTTTTTCCTTTGGCACGGCTACATGTACATTTTTTTCAACGAATAAGGCTGTAACTTGTCAGAAAATAAACCTTTTGGGTTGAAAGTTGGTGTAACCTCCTAAGTTTTGACGTTTAACATACCCTAAAAATTTCATTGACCTGGCACAAATACTTAAAAAGTAGACCCTCCAAGGGAGTGCCTCCCCTTAAACATGGAAACTGATAAGAGGATGGAATTCGGTACTAGATTAACAAGTTACGTGCCATAAGTGTTTGTACGTAGTGCTGTGCGATTTAAAGGGTGCCCGAAAAATACCAATTATTCATCTTGAGGGCAAAACGAGAGGGACACAAAGAGACAAACACGGCACTTGTGTTTGTCTCTTTGTGTGTCTCTCATTTTGTCCTTGTCTTGTGCACTGTAACCTCAAGATTAATCATCAACTCGCCCAAGCTTTTGTATTAACAATTATTTAATTGGTGCCAAAATGGCTACTAGTTGAAATTTTAAAACTCTAGGTTGAGTCAAAGTTCTGAAACGCCCGTGGAACCGTAGTTGTGTTTTGTATGCCTGTGCTGAGCACTGAGAAAAGGCATTATGATGCATGGTAAACTGTGTTCTTCAGAATCTAGATAAATATGTAAAATACTTAAAAACTAAACTTTGAAAAAAAAAAAAAAAATTGAAAAGTGAATTATAATTGCATTTTTCAAAACATGAATATTTTATTGATTTCAGCGGACAGCATTGCACTGGAGTTCTCAGTTTTGCAACGCAGATTGTATTGTCATGCTGCTAAAAGAGGTGAGCTCCACAAAAGCATAAAGTTAGTTTTGATTTCCACTCTTCTCCTACGTTTTTAGTTGATGGCTGGTTAGGACAGAACTTGGAAGCTTTTTCTTATTTGGTGGTGGCCAGAAGAGCTATTTCTTTTGGTTGGGAAGGCCAGATATGGTGTGCTGGGGTAACTTGTTTGTGAATCTTGGGGAGCCTGAAAAAGATGGGGAATTGCCAAGGAGTTTGTTTAGGAAGAAGACAGAGTCGGAGGAAAAAGACCACTATATTTGTTCATTCTCGCAAGGCGAGACTCACCATATACGTGATTGGCACATTTGGGAGTTTGGGATAACGGTCATTCTGATCCTGATTTATGAAAGTAAAGGAAGTTGAAAAACTTCAATCTAATCATTTTTCTGTGCACCTGGAGAGGCTAAAGACCTGCCAGGTTCAGCACATCTGATATGGAGATCTGTAAAGTCTCTCTATTTTGATATGAATTAAAAAAAAATATATATTTACAGATAAAGGGTGCAAAATTTTCAGCCCTTTATTTGGCATGGCTTAGTTTCAAGAGGCAGCATTTTTACTCTCTGAACTCGAGAAGCCTTCCTCATTATTAGTAAATACGGAAGTTCTTCTACCGGTCGAGAATCCTACGTCCGACTGGCCAATTGTGGCGTTAATGCAGCACCCTTCACTAGGGCATCCGAGAGTGTGTGTGTGTGTTGGGTTTGATTGTAAGCCCCTTTGAATGATTCTTTTTAACGTGTTGTTCACCAGGACGCCAATGTGCTGCTCCAGGACGAAGAAGGACGAACGCCTCTACACCTCTGCGCCTCACGTCCCGATCCAGCTGCTGTCGACTGTGTCCGTCTACTCCTGGTAGGTTTCCGATCTCGGACGACACATGCCACCCGGTAGTTGAGGCCTTCACATGGTGTCATCGTTAATAAATCCCTAAACTGCCTCGAGTGACGCTTGAAGCTCGACGAGATTACCATCTGGCAAAACGGCAGACAGCTTTACTTCGATGTGGCCGCGCGCCAGCATTCCGCACATTGCGAGGTTCTGCTACTATTGTGTCGGGGATGAGAGCTAGACAATGCTTTGGGGACCCACATGTAATGACGTTAGGAGAGGGAACTTGCAGTCTCTGTCAACTGGGTGGTATAACCTCATGGAAGTACTTTGGTACACTGGCCAGATGGCACGAGCAGCCGCCTTATTTAAAAGGGTTTAGCCATATGCCTCGTTCATTCTGTCACACATAGTTTTCGTTATCTATGCAGGAGTGTGAGCCCTCGCTCATCAGGTGGCAGGACTACCAGGGTTGCACAGCCCTGCATCAAGCTGTGGCTACCGGTACTATCCAGACAGTTGACTTCCTGGTGACTACCCCATGTTTTTTGTTGTCGGAAGAAAGTAATATTTTGTCGGTTGAAATGCATTGCCTTTTATCATTTCGAACAGTTTATGTATACTTTCTTGTTTGTTCCTTGAGCAGCCAGGAGATCTGTCAATTGGTACGCACTATTCTGAGCATTCCTTATTAATTTTTGTTGTTGTACTATACAGGTTCTAGAGTAAATAAGTTGCTAGGCACATGTGGGTTTGGAAGGCCACTTTTGCACGTGGCAGACTGTAGCCCACCAAACATCCTACACCCAGCATTGTGCTTCAGTTTTGTACCTGTCTGAAGAATGGAAAACAGTGTATGTTAGGCAAACCCTACCAGACTTTGGATGTAGAATTTCTATAGAGGATACGGGACTATGTGTGTTGTGAGCAAAAATTATCGTCGGTGCAACTAGAAGTGTGATAGGGCAATAGAAAGGTAATGCAGAAGCTGGTGTGTCTCCTCGAATTTATTTATTCCCATAATCTGTTTCACATTTTTACACTGCTCACGGCATTGATGCTGGTACACAGTTACAATACTTCAGCATAATCGGACATTGCTAAGTATGAAAGCCTCATTGCTTTTGAAGCCCCAAAGCTTTGGACACAACCATACAAATCCCATTTACTCTAAAAAAAAAATAAAAGAAGTTTAGTAGTTTTAAAAATTACATTGCCAATCAAAGTAAAAAAAAAAAATTAAATAATAAATAAATATACATTTATTTGCTTTAAATCACTGTAGCTAGAGAATAGTGATTCTTTACCACTACATGCATTTTCAGACATGACAGATCGATTGATCAAGTGGTCCAATCACTAATAGCAATGCGGAAAAAAGAATTGCTGTAAATGTAAAGTACAGTTTAATTAACAACTTTTTATTTATTTAATTCCCGCCATATTAGAAGAAAAAGAGCTTGATTTTTTAAATAGTTAAAAAGCTTTATTTGATTTTTCTTTTGCATTTTGATTTGATTGCAATGGAATTACTTTTCTAGTTTTTGTTTGTTTCTTTTGTGTTCTCATTTGGTTGCAGTAGGACATTACATAGCTGACAAACATAGTGGGAGGCAGAAAAGAAGTTCACCGCTCCAATCTGCTCAGAAGAGCACTCCTTTTGCTTGTGTTCAGACTTTTTTTTTAAATACTTCTTGCTTGATGATTTTTTAATTTAAACCCAAAACAACTGCCCATAGACAGCATCATATGGTAAATACAAATGGTAAATAAAAAATATTTTTGGGATTATTTTTGTGGTGAAGGTCTGAATTTATATCATCATAAATGTCTAAAATTAATAATGAATTTAAAAAACAAATTTACGACCCAACTGTTGTTGATTACACAAGATCAGGAGATGTTAGGTTTCTGTTGTGTATGTTTTAATTGTGTATGTGAAAGCTGTTGCTATAGCTTTGTGTTGCTAATGGAAGTTTACTGTGTGCGTAGAGTTTCCTCAGGGATATTAGAGGGGTGCAGCATGGGGGATGCTTTCATAACAATCCTTTACTGTGTGTTGTTGGCACTACAGACATCCAGGGGCCAGTACAACTCCCTGGACAATCTCTTTCGCACACCACTGCACTGGGCTGTTCAGCTTGGTGAGTATGTCCCTCCTTGTATGCAGTGAAACTGCCAATACATTATAGTGATAGAGCAGGTAAACATAAGTTGTAAACCTTTGGGATAGTTGGCAGGACAGTGCAATAGATGTAAGCTGCAAGCAGTCTTGCTATACAGTATAGACCACTTACAATGTAACCGCTTATAGTGCAGGACCGGGTATAACGCGGCTTTTTTAAACCACCGGTTCGCCTCCCATAGAACTTCATGTAATTACATACTGCTTAAAATGCAGGTGCGCGAAGGGAAATATTGCGGTTTCTGGGACAGCCCGCCGACCGTGCTGACCGACCGGCGCAGCGAGCACGCTTCCCTGTGCGACACTAGATAACCGCGCTAGCCTGCTAGCCGCAAGCGGCACTCACGGGGCAAGGAGGTTGCTCGAAGAAGCGGGGAGAAGCGAAGAGAGAGGCTTCAGTTGTCATAGCGACAGAGGGACACACGCACGTGTCGTTCACGTGCGTGCGTCCCTCCGCCGCGTTGGATGTGCGTTGGAAAGAACCGCAACGACAGACCAATCGCAGGTCGAGGAGAAGTGTTCGCGCGCGTTGCATGCCAGTTGCGGGCCAGCCGGGCCGGCTTCTTCTATCCGCAAACATGGCGTCGGTAGTGATCGTCGACGTAGACGGCGTGGTGGAAGCTCATCGTTCCACGTAAAAGCGCTATTCTTGACTGTGAATTTTCGATGTGTGTCGTTATGATAACCCAGCACATACTAGAAGGGAAGATCCACCTACTCGTGCGGCGATGTCGTGGCGGGACTCTCAAGATGACCGAAACGCCCGTGTTGTCGTGTTTGTTTACTTCAACTACAGTGGTGATTTCTAAGCATTTGTGTTTTTGAACATCGCCCGGATTTCTTATTTGGAGCATTTCATGCCTGTGCTCAAGTTGAAGGTATTACTGGCGCGTACCGTATAAAGGATGTGACTTTTCACGCATTTTCATCACCGGAGAAAATTAATTAGGTTTAGCAATCCTGAACGCTCGCAACGTCCGTCCGCAACCCGCGATGCCGTTAAAAGGCTGTGCCAGGCAAAAGTCGCTCATTTCTTTCAAAATGTGTGACACACTTGAGAGAGAAGTGTACTAGTCTGGTCAAATAAAGACTTTCCTCAAACTAAGCTTTATTTTTCATCTAACATAAAATAAATTTTTTTACAAAGGTAAGTTGTCTCATGGCATGTATTTTGGTCTGAAAAATTGATGTTTTGGTTATAGCGCGGTACCGCTTATAGTGCAGATTTTAGCGACTCCTGCGACATACGTTATATGCGGTCTACACTGTACTGCAGACTATGCCACGAGAGAAATGGCCGAATGGCAACAATCCAGATTAGTGATAGCTATAAATATGTTAGCATATCTTTGATGATTTGCTACAGCCGAGGGTTAATTTTAAAATGTCAAAATACCTTCTTTTTTTCTTTCCTTAAGCTTCTATTTTCAGTAGATGCATTGCCTCTGAGTGTCATCGTCTCTTTTTTCTATTTGGAACCCTTGCTCTCCTCCTTTGTTCTCAAGAATTCCCCTTAGCTTTCTTGTTTATGCTTTTATAATGAAATTTAGGCATATACACACATTGTCTCACAAATAATGACCTACCACCCACATGAATCCTGTATGCATTTAGTTTTTTAAATTTTTTTTTTATTAAATTCACATTTAAAAAAAAAAAATTAGGGAAAGCTATGCAAATGCGGCCTTATGCAAATGAGTTATACAGCCAGACGGACATTAGGTTCAAAAGAGAATGCAGCTAAAAGATAACTGAATAACGAAAATTTACTAAATACTTTTTTAATTAGACATTTTAATGCACATTATTATATTCAAGAAATGGAGGCAATCCATGTTGAAGGCCAGCCAAGTTTCTAAAACTCCTGTTGTTGGAGTTGTCAAATTTTGTTCCGGAGGTCTGTCGGTACTGAAACCAAATAGGCGATGCCCGCCGGTAGTACAAGCCTCGTTTTACGCTGGAGGGTCACGGGTTAATAATGAAATTTGTGTCACTATTTTGCATCACAGCGGGCTGGAGCTTGTTGCAGACAGTGCTCTGTCACTGGTGAACTTCACCAGTGGTGTCACTGGTGAAGCAATAAGCCTTCTTAGTGAACGCGACAAATTGGGTTGCTTGTCGCGGCCGCTAAGGTGGCCTATCGCTTTAGTTCTGTAGCCTCGGAACACCAACTGCAATCAACCCCGGCGCTCTGTGACACAATATAGTGACGCATATTTCGCCATTAACATGTGACCCTGCAGCATCAAACGAGGGTTGTCCTTCCGGCGGGCATCGCACATTTGATTCCGGTATCGACAGATTGCCAGAACAAAATTTGACAACTCCAACTGTGCGCTCAATCCAAAAAAAAAAAAAAAACTGGGAATTTGCTGTCATTTCTTCAATATAAACATATGCCCTAAAATGTCTAACTAAAAGAGTGATTAGAGAATTTTTGTTACTAGTCATCTTTTAGTTGAATTTTCTCTTTAACATAATGTCCACCTGGCCGCATACTCACTTGCTCAGACCGCATCTGTGTAAGTTTCACGGTTTTTCCTAAAAAAATCTGTATTCAATAAGAGAAAAACACCCTGTATAGACCAATTTGCCACGACGGTCGCCGTGTTCGAACACGACATAGGTCGTGTCAGGCGGCCCAAATTAAAGTTGTGTTTTTACAGACCAGTACTAAAGAAGAAAGGTCAGGCGAAAAATGGAACCAATCATTGGAACCCTTCAATTCTAGTGCTTTCCAATTGGCAAATGTTTCCTCCAACTCGGCTTTGTCAGAATCATACGTGGCAACCGGCACAAGGAGCCGGTTCATATGGGAACAGACATGCACAGATATTCATAAACGCCGGCAGACGTTCAGATACATCTTGTGTAATGCGTACACATGCGAGGAAACATAAAAGCTTGTGCAGCTATAGTCGTCACCTCAAGAAAAAAGCAAGTTTTGTGGGTTGTTCATACACCGCATGAAGTAGTTCTCACAGTATTTGGTTGTTGGAAAAAAGAGCAATGTTTTTGGCACTTGAAACGTGTACGTCTCTATTTTAATTCTCCACGTAAAGGGGGAAATTAGTAATGCTTTCCCTGGAGCCGAACCTGTTTTACTGCGATTCTTGAGGTGGGAGAATGAGTATAAACCTGTGGTTCTTAGCCACCGTTGTTTTGGGGACCCCTGATGGGTTGACGAAACTGATAGGGGACCTCATCCACTGGGGGAGGGGGGTGGTGTGGGAGGAGGCTGTATTGGTTGATCACAATGACAGACAAGTACATAAAGAAAACTGATTGCGTGCAAACCAACTCTGCAGCTTCGAAATGGAGAATAGTTGACCTCACTCACTTGGCACACGTGGTTTGATGTATTTAGTTTTAAAAAGCAACCAGGCGTCAATAAAAAAAAAAGAAAGATTTTTCTTCGGCTTAAGTGAAGGCTGAGGGCTTCGAAGACACTAAAAATGCCTTCAGGAACCCTGAAGCGTCCGCATCAAGAGCCACCGATGAAAATGCATACACGTACGAGGAAACATAAAAACACGTGCATGAAGAAATTTGATTCTTCCCAGCAGGTTTACGTTGCAGGCACATTGCGCAGGTCGGGTGGACGTTGTTCGCCTGCTCTTGGGTCGGCACGCCGACCCTGGTAGTGCCGACTGCAACGGTGCCACACCGCTGCACTATGCCACTCGTCTGAGGGACCCCGCCCTGACGTCGCTGCTCCTGTCGCGGGGGTCGCCCACAGACCTGCTGGACTCCAAGGGGTTCAGCCCCCTCATGTGGGCTGCTGTGGGGGGGACCACGGCACACCTCAGAGCGCTGCATCATCACAAGGTGCCGCTGGACGCTCCTACCCTGGACGGGGTCACGGGTGGGGGTTCAACTGCTTGCTTTTTACTACGTTCGTTGTTCTGCCGTTTGTGTTTCTCAAAGTATTTTCGTTGCTTGGAAGGAATTGAAGTTTATAGATTTTATTTATTTATTTATTTGTTTATTTATCTATTAATGCTGCAGGCTCATCCAAGTTCAAGCGAGAGTGTACATCATAAAAAGACGCAGAAAAAGAAACCCATTAGGAACAAGGCACAAGAAACAATTACAGCGAGACACACACAAAAAAAATAATATATATATCACCTAGAAGAGATCAAGTTCATTAGGTACGAAATATTTTCACAAGGGCACAACTCTCAAATTTGCAATGAATTTTTCGTAGGAATCTGCAAAAGGGGATTTTGAGTTTGAAGCAAATACCAGTAGTTGTGGCCAATTATTAGCAAATCGATTATTGAATTGTTTCATCAAGACCCAGCTGCATCATGCTTAAATGAAAACCAAGCTGAACTCGAGAAGGTTGTTCCTAAGCTTCCATTTGCCCATTTCTAAGCTAAGTTAATTGTAATCTAACTATGTTCACGGACTGTGGCCTTCGGAAAGTCCAATGAGTACATTGGGATGGTAAGTAAATGAGGCATTTGTCGTCAAATTAAGTCTATAGAGATACCCAGCTATATCTAATTGAGGGGATTTATAAATCTTACTGTTATGTGCAAATATCTTTTCTTAAAACTTGAATTTGAGAAAAAATAAAAAGACAATCGTGAGTGATGAACATGGATTGTTGGGACATGTCTGCCTAACATGTAATCTTCCATAAAAGCCAGTTTCCTTTTGAAAATTTTAGTTTAGTGTTAGTGTCAACATTCACAAAGTTTACATTTCTTTTTTTAATATACCATGAGCGGGCCGAGCGTATATCATCTCGCTTTAAAAGTGTGGTTTCCCTCCTGTGCACTCAGCTGCAATATTTGTACTTTTTGAAGTGTTGGCTGAGGCGGGCTTCGCAGTGTTGAGCACGCGTGTTACCCATTAGACCGGCGCATTGCGGAGATGCAACACCCTGTCGCTTAAGCGCGAAACACATGTACGACGAAACCGTCCGATCCGAAGTCCGATCAGGCAATACGACGGTCGGAGGCGAGGGTTTTTGATGCTCTCCGGTGCTACGAACACCTTCGCCCGCGAAGGTCATTCCGGCAGTCCGCACGTCGGATCTGACGGTTTCGTCGTACATGTGTTTCGCGCTTTATTCACAATACATCGGTGCTTGGTAAGAAGTACGTTGAACAGAGCTAACCCACCTCCATCAACATTTGGAAAAATATGAATATCGCAGCTCATCTCGAAGTGAATATAAAATAGCGTATTATTTGGAAGTACTATTTGAATATTTTCACAAATTTAATGTTTCAACTCTTGCACTCAGTAGTACTTTTTCGCAACTTATTCCACACGCTTTTTGTCCTGGTAAACAATTAAAATTGAAAGGTATCGTTATATGTGCAAAACTCCTCTATCATTTTCCCGCTGTTAAAACTAGTATTTGGTCATGACTTTGTGCTTATTTAAAAGTGATTTATTTTATATCATATACATTATAATGTACATTATATATAATGCACACAAAACTTGTTTTAATATACTTTTCCGATGTTACTCAGTACTAATTCTTGTTACTTTTGAACGAGGACGTCTTCATTTGTAAATAATGAGCCTGAAACTGTTTCTTGCATAAGAAACATCTACACAGGTGCCTGTTTGTTGCGTATTGAAGCTTGTAGGGTTGCGTGTAGAAATTTTTGTGTGTGCATGTGCAGATTAATTTATAACCTCAGAAATTCTGAAGTGACACTTGTGTCGAGTCCGACCGAGCGCAACTGCAACAGCCTGTGACGTACGGGTTGCTATGGCAAAAGCTGCGCCAGCTCCAACAAAACCGGTTTTTACCTGTTTTGTTGGAGCCGACGCAGCTGTTGCCATAGCAACCCGCAGGTCGCAAGCCGTTGCAGTCGCACTTGGTCGAACTCACACAAGGGTGTGAACCAACCTTTAGAGTGAGCATAACATTGGCGCTTTTTCCCATTTAACTTCGGATGGGTATTGGCGGCGGGCACTAAAAGTTTTTGCTTTAGTTAGCGCCCCAAATTAGTAAGTTCCCATCGTGCTCACAGTTTTGATGGCATTTTTTTATTGTAGGAATAAAACAGGAAAAACTGGCAATTGCTTGTTTGTGCTAACGGTGTCACAGTCTCTACTTTAAGAAAGACGTCTTACAGTGTCTAAGCATGACCTCTGGGTGCCTTTTTGTACTACTTGATGTAAGTAATGAACTCCATTAGGGCACACACATTCTTTCTTGGCCACCAGTATGGCAACTAGGAAGGAGCATGCAAGGTGCAGGAGTCTCGAAGCGAAAACGAATGGTGTTTACTGTGATAGCAATGTTTGTACGTACGCACCTCACACTCAGTGTTGCCCACACAACAATGCGTGAGAGCCAAGTTCACTTTCCTGCCACAAGGATGCTAATTATTTCTCGAAGAAGGTCCCTGTTATGTCCGCACGTTGAGATCAGTGATTTGCCTCGAGAGTTAACCCTTACAATCTGCTTACTCGCGGTATTGTGGGGTGAGGGAGGGGATATCTTTTGTTTTCAACACCATTACCCAGCTTCACCCTAAAGACCTGTTACACGTACACTGCAGCACTAACTCAGCACCGAGTAAGGGCCAACACTAGCACCAAAGCAGCACTGCTCAGCACATGTGAACCTACCTTGATCGTTACATGATCTTGGGGCTCAATTCGGTCAGTCGGAGCTACCTTAAGACGAACTTGCCGCATTTCACAACCATCGTGGCTTTTCTCAAAGATCTCGGGAGAAGGTTGCACGACTAAGGATTCGTAGCTTGCTCACAGCGCTCCACGCGGCCGCCGGTCAAGGCCAGGACGAGACCGTTCAGCTGCTTCTGGACCTTGGAATGGGCCTGGGGCTCAAAGACCACCTGGGCCTGGCACCCCTGTCTTACGCCTGTCACGGGGGGCACGCGCACACGGTGCTGCTCCTCGTGGACGCCGGGGCACAGCTGCACGACACCGATGCGCGGGGGTGCTCGCCGCTGCACTGGTGCGCGCCCTCTCCTTCTTCGTCCCGGTCTTAGTCTTTCATGGCAGCCGTCGTCTGTGCACACTCTCGCTCATGTCGCTGCGTCGCTCTGTAGTAATATGCAATGACTGGACCGCCAAAAGACGCTTCCGCGGTGTTGTTAAAAAATTTCAAAGCTGCACATCTTTGTTGTGGTTCGCCATTCTACTTGCAGGGCAGTTGCAGGGGATCACGCGTATGTGTGCCAGTTGCTGGCTCAGCGTGGCTGCAGAATGGATGTGGTGGATCACCAAGGGTGAGCGGATCGATGATCCTCGACGTTTTTTGACATGTTGCAAGCTTTGGGGGACTTGGGGGTCTCTGGAAACACCGAGCGCACGCCGGCTTCAGACCCGGTTTTGGTCCAGCGGCCGATTTCCAGCTGTGAGGGCTTCATAAACAACTGTTTCCCTCGGTCTCTCCCCAAATGACAGTGTTATTACCGTTAGAAAATAATGGGAATTTCTTTCTTCCTCAGTCTTCTTTTAGGTTAGGTTGCTAGCCTCTTCTGCGGCTCCTCAACCTCTCTTTATCTTTTTTTCCTTTCGAAACAGACAAAGCGAACGTGTAAGGAAAGCTGTAATAGTCCAGCTTTTTTTTTTCTTGAATCAATTATTTACTAACTGGTTGGTTCTCCAGGCTCCTAAACATAGAACTTCGGAGCTCCTTGCTTTTACCGGGTCTATGTCCAACGTTTGATGACTTTGTCATTAAAGGTGATTTTGCTACATTTGAGTTTATTTGCAATGTTGCAGCGTCACAGTTCCTTCTATTTATCTAAACTCTTATTTAGTAAATCCAGTTAGACTAGAAGAGTGTTGAAGATGTTTGTTCACAACAACAACCATTAGGTTTGTCGGCAGGAAGTTTTTCACTCAGTGTCCTTCACGCGGAACAAGCATACAACCACATCACATCTACAAATTCCTGACTACAATATATTTCCATCTTCAGATATTTGAATCTGTTCACTCAAGTTTTACTGTAGCCTCATCTTACTAATCGATGGTCATTTCCCCACAAAGAAATGCATTCAATGAGCTTCACTTTTTGAGAGACCATTGCAGTCTACACCGTGTGCGAACAGCTTCGGTCCTGAGCCGACATGAGCGAGCTGACCTGTGGACCGTGTTGCATGCAGCCGCGGCGCTCTGCACTATGCCAGTGGCTTGGGCCTGGTGAGCTGTGTAGCTGCCCTCCTGCAGTATGGGGCAGAGCCCAATCTCATGGATATTGAGGTGACCATTTATGCTGTTTTACAGTGAAACTCGTTTGGAACAAACCCACGTACAGCGAATTATTGTCGATATCGAACTCACGGAAAATTTAAACAAAAATGCGTGTAAAAAGTACTTTTTATAACGAACAACATATTGGCTATATCAAACTTTTTCCCCCTGGAAAGGCTTCCAGAAACGCTCAAACGCAGTCTAAGCTCGTTATAACATACCTGGTTACAACATAGATTTGGATATAACATACCGATTTGTGAAGTTCGGTTGGTTTTCCTCTACATACCATGGACTCAACTTCATGTCTGCATACAACATACTCCTTGTGGGATTCGACTTGCCTTACTGCACCACGAGGTCGATCCCACTCCGTAGCTCGATGTTGAGGACTGCTACGGCCGGGTCCGTCCGGAGGCTGCCGTGGACTCCGAGGAGAGGACTCACTCCAAAACACAAAGATACTGAAGAAGCGGGTTTATTTGGCTCCTGTGCCACCACGCTGTGCCCGTCGGCAAAACTAATGAAAGAAAAGAACGGAAAAAGGGTCGGCGCTGTCGCATTAGACAGATTCACCTGGAGGGGGCCCACGCTGCCGCATTAGGCAGATTCGTGGAAAGGGGAAAGCTCCAAAAAGAACGAGGCTCCGTGGCCCAGAGCCTTCCCCGGACGAGAGCCCGGGCCGCCGTTCGCGGCTGCTTATCTAGCCAGCGGAAAGTGGACGCGCCCGGGGTAGGTAGTGTGGCTTATCCCGCAGATGGGCCACGTCCACAATCATTTCCGAAGGGTGCGCCGGAGGCACTTTCACCCAAAAGGGCGAGGGAAGACACGCCCTCTTCGAGGAATGCGGCCTTACCCCCGTATCCGGGATGACGTCGCCATAACGCTCCCACGGCCTGCTTGTGCTAGGCCTAGATAGGGAGACGGGAAACTCGTGGTTCCCACATCCTTTTACAACAGACCAAAATTTTGGTCAAAATCAAGGTCTGTTATAATGAGCTTAGACTGCAATCGTCTTCTAGCCCGTCCCTTCCCCCAACAAGAAGTAGGAAAGAAAGAAAATTCCAAAAGCTCAAGTTGCAAACAAAATTGAGCAAAGAGAAGCGATTCAGAAGGGGGAAAGGAAGCTAAAAAATACACTCTGCACGCATGCACAGAAAAAAAAAAAAATTTCATCCCAAATTGTTTGCCTATGAAGAGAAGTGATAAGGGGAAATAAGTTAAAAAAAGCACTGCACGCATGAAAAGAACATTTTTTTTAGCGCGCACAAGGTGGAAGTGAAGAGATGAAAAAGAAGAAGGTCTCGCTTTACAACGAGCGCATCGTGGAAGTTCGTTGTAAATGTTTTTTGCTATATCGAACTACGTGCTATATCGAACTGATCGTAGCATTTCCTGCTGTTCGTTAAAAACGGATTTGACTGTATTTGCTTATTCTAGAGTCATGGGGTTCCGTGGGGTTCCGTGTCTATTAGATGAGCACTTGCCGGTAAATATTTCTACAATTTGAATATGTATTCGAGATACTCGGACTTGCCGTATTCGGGTTAAAAAAAAGGCAGCTGGTATTTCTTTCTTTCATGCGTTGCAATCTCTTTCACACCATAAAGTGAAAAGACCGTCCAACCTAGGGGGCTATGTTCGACAAATGTTTCGTCATTTGAGCCTCTAGCCAATCCGATGCGATGTTGTTACTTCCATCACTTCCGTTTCTTTTTAGGAGAAACGAAAAATTTGTCGAACATAGCCCCCCTAGTTTGCAGTCACCTGGGGCAAGGTAGTTTTTATCCTTGATACAGCATCTAGCATTACAACAGTAAGCAGCTAAATGCAAAAGGCTACACAAAGAAAGAAAAAAAAAAATCATTTAAGGGGGATGCACTATATTGCATACGCAATATAGTGCAATCCACTCACAACGATAATGAGAAAACTCGAAAATTCAATCGTTATAACCAATAGACCCTTTCTGAAATTCAGTCTGGCCACTTTGATCACTATCATCACCATCTGAAAAATGGCATATGTGCCATACCAATGGCGGCTTTCTATTTACTGATGAAGGAACATGTTGAAGATACTCCTAAGCTGAGGATTCGAGGCCTATACATTCTAGACGTTAGCACGTTGCGAAACCGGAATTGAATGCAAGCGTTGCGTAAGTGTTCATTTCTCTAATTTGAGCCCAGTGAACCTGTTAGTGGCACAAAATCGACTTCGAAAGCCCTTGACTTATAGAACTTTATCAAGGCGTCTGTCTGGGTTGGCGCTTCGTTCTGACTGGTTGCATCGTTGTGCGAATCGACACTGGAAGAGATGACTGAGAAAAACCTGTATAGCGAAAAGTTTGTTCTCGTCTGCCGTTGACATGCAAAAGTGACGGTGCCCGATAAAATACTGCAGGCTACGGGTTCATTGCCGCCATTCGTATGGCAAAAGTTAAACCGCCATTTCAGCCACCAGATGGCACTGAATTTCGGAAAGGGTCTATTACCGATGCCCGAAATAATAACTCGTTCCGCAGGATGGAGCAAGTTACTCTGCAATGCAGCGTACTGATCACATCGTACAATATCAGCTGTAAAATAAACACTTCCTTTATTTTGTGGTTTGTACGAACAAGTGTTGGATAAATCGTGCATAAGAGGCAGAAAATCAATCCTTAGTACACGATTCCGACACCCTACGTATCCAATTGCTATGTGTGTGCCGCCTGCAGTCTTATCGCATGTACGAAATCGACCTCTAACTGAATCGCGAGGAAAACACCTTGAACATAAATTGGAGGCAGATGATCATTTGCAATGGGACGGGCGATTTCGTTGACATCGTCGTAAATTCCCCCATCAACATCGCCGTCGCTCTGGCCGCCTTTGTTGACGGTGGCGGTGGCGATTAAGATCGTAGGGCCCTGACGCTGCCATGTGGCAGCAAATGTGGCACATGGGGAGAGCTCGTGGATTTGGACGAAGCTCCAAACTTCTTTAAACTTTGATGCAAATGTTTAGTAGTGGTAGTATGCTTTGTCTCATCTCCACGAAAAGTACCGAGACTTGAATTTTTGTTTCAAGCATTTCTATCGGTCAGCTTCGAGCCACGCACAGCGACAACTCGCGGTGAATTTTGATACGCATCCTTATGGCGGACGCATATGGCAAGTTAGGTGTCGTTCGTTCGGCGGTTCTTTCTATTTGTTTTATTTTTCTCCCGATTTTTTTTTATATTTTTCAATCGGCGCATTTATGGTCAATGTAACCAATATGCCTAATATATTCCATCGTTATATGTGGTTAATGTCTACATAGACCCAACGCAAAAACGCATAGTTCTCTAGAAACTGATCGTTATAAGCAGTACATTGTTATACGTGGTGTCGTTCTAAGTGGGTTGCACTGTACACATGTCTGTGTGTGTCCCCCAAATGTTTTTTTTTTTCTTTGTTTGTGTATTATTTACAGCACACTTTCCGTATCTACACCTTGCAAGAGGCTATATATGAAAGTTTATCTGGTTTTCGTTGGGGGTCGGGAGACTTCATTGATGAATTTAATCTGTTTGGTGGGAGAACCTTGTGACACCAATGCGAGCACTGCTAGAAGTTTGAGAAACAACAGCTGCATCATGCGAAAAATATCTTAAATGTTGCTGGTGCACAGTCAGTCAATGAACTTGATTTCAATTTCCTTGCAATACTTTTTCAGTCTTGAAAATATGCTTAGTTATGTTGGCCCGCTCCTTAGAAGTCCAGGTGAACTTAGGCAGGACTTCAGAAAAAGGATAATTGTCTGGAAATATTTAGACTTATGAAAATGCTTTCTGAATTTCACAAAAAAATAGTCAAACTATGTTTCATATGAGGGAATCTATGTTTCTTGGTAGCAATTATGAAGGACTATACATTTTAAATAAGATTGGTGTCTTTTACAGCTCTACATTTGCATGTCCTCTTTTATCTGCCAAACTCTGCCACAGGTTGCCCAATGAGGCAGTAAGAAGGGAGGCTTCTAGTTGGCACCTCCACATTCTCATCCGGGCATTCAGCCATTGATGCAAACCATCCATGCCACTGAACATTCTTCCGAAAATCTCGAGAATCTGATTGCTACTTTCTAGGGCAAGGCGCCAGTGCACCTCGCCGCTCACTGTGGTTCCTTGGAGTCCGTAGAGCTGCTTTGTGGTCACGGTGCCATGCTCAACGCCATGGACAAGACCCCCCACAGGTAGGGTGTTGCGTTGGAAATGGGTCAGAGCTGACATCTGCTGCTGAATTTTCAGGTATACTGCCCTGGATTATGCAGGGGCGGGGAACCACTCCAGCGTCGTAAACTTTCTGCTCGAGCAGGGCGCTACATCATCCAGCAACATTAAATCCATCGCAGCGTTCGCGATTCAGGTGAGTTAGTGTAAACCACAGAGTTCCAAATACTTATGGCTCAATGTTTGGCATTGAATTCCACGGGCCTACTTTGAAGTCAATTAAAGCTTGTATTAAACATTGAACTTGGATGAGTATACTTTTGCAAGAGAAAATAGCCCTTGTTGAGCAAGGTTTGAAACTATGAAACAGATGTAAAATAGACATCGAACTTCTTGCTGACAAAGCTGCATTAAAAATATATGTATATATATTGAGAGCGCACTTATTTTTGTGCCAGCCTACCTGGAAAAAGTGCATCTCCTGACACCGTTTGCTGCGCTGCAAGAAAGCGACAAAAAAAGCTGCCAGTCGCGTGGGATGGAGCGAGTCACTCGCTCTGTAGTAAAACCCTTGTGTCACATTTCAGCACTAAAACTTGAAAATCTATGGGCTTCTAAGAGGGCATACAAGGTGAATTCTGGAAAGAATCTCCACTGGATTTTATCTATGGGAGAGAGGGTGCACAACCCTGGTTAAAAGGTGCTCCCAGTGATCCCATTATAGTCTATCACTACCATTATAGCAGGGGGGGAAGGAGGGAAAGGGAACGCGGCGCAAAGAGGAGGCTGCCATATTAAAACCGCTTACGTTGCCAGCATAGGTTTTGCAGCGAAGAAGTTGCTGCCATATATGGCGGACTGAGTTTTACTTTCTTTTTCGTTTTGGAAAGAGAATGTATTGTTGTGTTACATAAGTCCTCCTGCATACAGACAACGAAGTTTAATTATATTTGTCTTGTTTACTTGGTTTGAAACCCTAAAAACGGGTTTTTGACGACTTATTGCTTCCATCATTGTGGAGTACGCAAGGCAGTTATCTCGCTGTTCTCGTTTCGGTTACGAAAGCAAGGCAAAACGCTCGTAGTTCCCGCCCTCAGTACACGTTGGGGACCTTCCACACTTTGACACCGGATAACTGGATGAACAAGGATTTACATTTACTTCAGAGGTCACTTTCGCCGCTTCCTCACCGTCGAGATCAACAGCCTAGAGCCACTACAACAGCCCAAGTGCACTCAGTGCCGATGCGGGCGACGCGGGCTTCCGTCAACCCAGGGGTGGACCCAAGGGGGGGGGGGGGGGGGGGGGGGGGGGGGCTTTCCTTGAAACAGTCGACCCCCCCCCCCCCCCGCCCCCTTCTCGGAGAGCGATTTGACATGGGTGGATCCCCCGAAATAAAACCGACTACGACTAGAAGGCTCGATCACCTCGATACTCAAGGACGAGGGTTCGAAATAGGGTAGGTCGCACCCGAGCAGGCACAGGTGTACTTTGAACTTGGAGAACCACCCCGTCACTTCAACCGAGACTGAAGTCCGCGGCGGCGGTTTCAAAGCACGGCTTAGAACCAAAAGTCGGCGCAGCGGCGCACATCTATAGGGGCCGTCGGCGCAATGTGGTTCTGCGGCGGTTCAAACAAAAGGCGCAACCGGAGTCCTGTTTATCTTGCTTTAGATTTTCCCTCCCCTCCTCCCCCCAGCCCCACACACACAAAAAAAAAAAAAAGAGTTTTGGATTTGCCTTTAGGTCAACCGGTAGTCCATCACAAACCGTGAACGTTCCAGCTCTTCGTCATGACACGGTGTTGCAGAGCAGGGTAAAATACAACTATACTCCGTTTCACCTTATGATGTACCGCACATGGCTCGAGCTCCTTGCTCTAGGGCACATCTCGGCGGCACAAGCTCCCGTGTGTTAAGAGCAGCTCCCAACGCTATGAGCTCGCGCTTCTAGCCTTCTCTGCGGTACAACCTAAGGTGAAACGGAGTATATACGGACCACCGAATCAAATGCACTGTTATCGTAAATCTTGGCATGTGGTTGCGCCTTTGCAGATCATCTTATTCGTTTTGCTGGAGAGACGCAACCGACAGGCATAACAAAATCGTTTGCGTATTCCGAATACCTCGCAAAAGCACTTACCCAGTCACCTTGCGAAAAGCGCGAAACACGGAGTCCGCACCGCCCTGACTTACCAGTCTTTTACCTGAGAGCAGTTTGTACCTGCTAGTATAGGTATGTCTACTGAAACTGCAACTTGAAACTAGGGGCAATGCCAGAGAGAAAATAGACAAAGTTGGGAAAGCGTGCTCATTCTCCCCAATTTCTGAACTCTCAAGTGATTGTAGCATAATAAATTCACCAACACCTCTTTCCAAAATGAAGAAAAAACACTATGTTTACTACGTAAAAGATGGTCTCAGTTCATGCATCCGAAGGCAGGTAGGAAACGTTGCCTCACACCGCATGATAAGCGCAACAAACTCACACGAGATTTACGAGAAAATATCGGTAGTGACTTAAGTTTCCCTGAAATTCTGTATGACCGGTCGTTTGCAGGACCGAATCATCTACTCGGGCGGTGTGCGTCGCTGTGCAAACGCCAACAAGACGAAGCATAAAAACAGCCGGTCTAGGACAATAATCCGGAGTCCACTGTTCAATTAAAACGACGCAATTTTGTTGAAAACGCCCGCAGCTTTTTACTCGCGGTATGCGTCGAGAATCTCCCACATTTTGAAACGGAACGAAGGAAGATTTACTTTTAGAAGCGCTCGCTGTGTCCTCCCGGACCAGCTGGACCGGATCAGCTGACGACGACGGGGCTGAACCCGTTGAATTTCAACCCCACAATAACCAATTTGCACTTCGTGTTAGTATGGGCTTTTACCTCCAAGCACCGCACCACACACCACGAACGTTTCAACTCTTTGACGCATCGCCGTGTTGCACCACACCTATCTCTATGCACAAAACAGAACGAGATCGCCGAAGTCAACGGAGCGCTGCCGTGAACCTTGGCTTGTGGTTGCGCAGTCGTGGACCCTGTGACTCCCTTCGCTTTCAAAGCACACACGACGATTACGAATGATACTCTCCGTCTTCCGGGACCATCACAGGGGAACTTCTCCGGTCACGTCTTCGCTACATGTACTCGCAAACCGCGTCGCAACATGTGCTCGCAAACCGCGTCAAACCAAAACAATGCGGAGGGCAAGTTCGTCTGCTTCTCGCGCAGGGGGTAGCGGTGACGTCAGAACGCCGAGCCCTGATTGGCTGATCGAGACCCCCTATCTGAGCGTCGTCTGCTCCTTTGCAACGTCGTCTGCTCGCAACGTCGTCTGCGTCTGTCTTACCCTTCCTGCGACTTTCGAAAGTACAGAGGCCAGATTCACGAAACGATCTTATGCCAAAAATGTGCGTAAGACAAAACTTATGAACAAATTCGTATTCACGAAACGAAATTTTCGTAAGTTTTGCGCAGGTTACGACGAAATCCTACGACAGCTCCGAAGCTGTCTTACGCACTTCTTACGGTCAAATCAGCATGGCCGACAGCGTCGCGGTCGCGACGACCTACAGACGTTTGTTTTGCTACATGCGCTTCTCACGTGTCCCGACTTCAAGCAGCAAGAAAAAAGTAAAAAGTACTTGAAACGACGACGAACAAGAACGCTGAATCCACAAACACCCGGGAAAAGCTCCAACGGCAACGATTCCACCGAACGCGACCAAGCGAACACGGCAGTGAGGCCTAGCAGGCACTCCGCGACTCGGTGACCGTCTGCCCACGACCGGCTGGCGTGCTGAATGGAATATGCCCGCGCGACCCTTGTGAACCCTTCCCGTATTATACTTTGATCGCTGACCTCAATTTTGAGGTCAATTTCTTCCTCTTGTTATCTTCTTGTTTCCCGAGGCAACGGTGACTCTCGCCGGTGAAAAAGCGGTGAATCTCCGACAGACGCAGGAAAGGTAAAGCAGCCATTGCTTTGACTAGCAGACGTAAAGTAGACGTCGTTAACTGCGCCAACCCGCCGACGCCGTTAAAGAATGAGGGGTCTCGCCGCACACGAAAGAAGGGAAAAAGTATTTGGGAGGGAACTTGCGGATACTAACACGCTCACTCTCGGTTCTTAGCAAACAAACCTCGGCGCCTCGGGACACCTCGCCAGTGAGTCCTTTGACTTCCCTCCTTGGTGCGCGTCTGCTAGTTGTTAGACAAAAACAACGTACCGCTCGAGTTATTTCGTCTGCCCTCTCTGAAAGGCGAAGTCGAGCTCGCTCATAAAGACGTGCACTTCCGAAAGTCGCAGGAAAGGTAAGACAGACGAAGACGATGTTGCGAGCAGACGACGTTGCAAAGGAGCAGACGACGCTCAGATAGGGGGTCGCGATCAGCCAATCAGGGCTGGGCATTCTGACGTCACCGCTACTTCCTTTCTCATGCGCAGAAGACGAAAATGAGCCCACTTGCGAGGCGTATTCCGCCGCCGCCGCCGCCTTGTTGAACGTGCGTTGTTGCTAGATTTTCTCCGACCAAACAAAAACAACGAAAGCAAACCGGCTCTAGCTTCCAGCGTACATCGGCGCTGCGCCGTGGCCAGATTTTCTCCGCCAGCTCTAACTTAAAGATGACCTACAGATGCAGCAACACTGGTATCAAGTTTTAACATGGCGGCCCCCACGGAGCGCCGTAAATTCTGAGGAGGGTGCATTGGAAGCGGCGGCACCTTCCCCCCCCTGCATTATAGTTAGGGTGTGCATTTTCCGGTTTTAACCGCAAAACACCGATAAACATCCGTCGGTGACGAAAATATAAAATCGGTTAAAACCGAAAAACACCGGTGGTTGGATATTTACGCCCTGGTTAAAACCGAAAAACACCGGTCGTTGCTAGTTTCCGACCTAGCGAACCCTTTCCCCGTAAAGGTTCGTCAAACGTGTTATCTCGTGGATCCTGCATTCTTCCAGTGTTTATACATGGCTTGCAGGTGGCGTCAGTGCGCCCTCCTTTCTGGGGGTCAAAAGCGTCTAGTGAACCCAGTGGAAGCTAAGCTCTCATACGCCTTTCCCCTATTGTGTCTCCCATGGCCCCCTTTTGTGGAAAATTTAACACAGTGGAGGGTAGGCTCTCACGTGCCTTTTCCTCATTGTGTCTGGCCAAGTGATGTCGGTGCAAGCCATGTATTCAGAGGTTGCTGTGGTTCCTGGAAGACACTGCCAACGTACGTGTCATACAGGAGCGTGCATTTTCATAGTTGCGGGTTGCGAACCGCAAGGAACGTGCTGCCATGACGGCAGCACGTTCCTTGCGTGTAGATGCAAGCATGAAAGTATGCTTGCATCTACTATGATAACCAAGTGTGAGAAATAGTTGCTTCCTAGAGAAGAAGTGTATGAACTATGTGAATAAAATCGGAACTCTCTGTATGTGATCAATCGCTTTTTTTTCACCGATATTCACCGATTTTAGCCTTGTCGTGAGACGTTCCACCGAAATGCACCGGTGTTTTGAAAACAAATAAACACCAAAAACATCCGACGATTTTTCTCACAAATAAACACCGGAAAGTCAACACCCTAATTATAGTATATTGCTTTTAAAAAGGTCTATTGTGCAAGCTGTAAATTAACCAAGCAGTTATAGTGTCTATGTTTACCGTAATATCCCGAGTCATCGCCCACCCCCCAACCGCCTGAAATTCGTTAAAAAAGTGGGGTGGGCCATGTCTCGGTGGGTGAGCACAAACACTTGAAAAAAAGCGGAAAAAACCGCCTATTTTTCTCTGCGTATCTAGCGCTGATGCAAAAGAGATACATCAAACTCAAAACTCGATTTAGTTTGATTGTTTTATAGAAAAAAAATGCTCACGAAAGAATATTTTACTATAGCGAAGTCCGTTGCTTGCATACGCGCTAGAAACACCGCCGATCTGCATATAGCACGAACGTTTGTTCCGTGAAAGAATGTCACCATTATGTTCTCCTAGTTAGTAAAAAAAAGAAAGAAAAGTCTACAAGAAAATAGAAAAACCGACCAGGCGCAATGAGCGAGCGAGCGGACCAAAGAAGCGACCAAGAGCAATGCTGGGAAAGCGGGAAAGCCGGCGGTCGCGTTGGCAAATACTTTGGCGTCGGGCCAAGTCGGGCGCTTGTCAATTGCAAGCTCTTGCGCAACTTTCTTGTTTGGTGCGTACATACGTGCGTCCGTGTACGGCGGGTTTCAATGCACGGTTGCGACGCTCTGCAAACGCCTGTGTAGGACGTTCCAGCAAAGCTTTATTTACGCTTTGGCTTTGCCTAAAATATTGCACAACAGCGGTCGCGACGGGCGGGAAGAAGGAGCGGGTTCGCGGTGACCTTACTTCGGCGGAGACAGACTTTGACCTAACACTCCGCGGTTACGTTAACAAACTCTTATTTTGTTATCTCCATCGTTTTCTTTTCGCACGGATACACGACCACTTTGGGGTCGCTCACGGAGGAAATGCGTAAACAAAAAGAAGTGTCTTTCCCTCCTTCGTTTTACTTTGTCACGGACGTCCTCCAACTGTAAGGTCCGCGACCGCGTCATACGGGTAGGATGAGTGTTCGCGGATCGCAGAGTCCGCGCTGGGGTATTTGAAGGGGTGGGCGATGACTCGGTGTTTTTTCGGAAATCGATATTGGCCCAAAAAATGGGGTGGGCGATAGCTCGGGGATGGGCGATGACTCGGGATATTACGGTAGTATAAATCATACTATTTTTTTTTCGTTTTGCAATTATTTTATGCAGTTTTTTGTTTTCGTTAATGTTTTGTTGTTAGGAAGTAGAAAAAGTCATAATTCATTTTAGTGAATATCAAGGCACTAATCACCAGAATGCATAAATATGCATCACACTTGTTCTCACTTCCCTGCATTGTGCACAGAAGGGTGCATGTTGCTTTTCTGCAGTGCATCCAGTTTGCAGAAGCAGACTCCATTGAGCTCTGTTGTTAATTTTCATTAACCTTGATAGTATACATTTGCCATTTTCAGATCCTCTTTTTTGATTTGAGGGTCGAACTCAATACATATATTTTACTTAATTCAATTTTACTTAATTCAATATCAGAATATACTAAACATTTTCTGACCTCTGCACACGTTTTAGAAATATTTTATAGCAGCATTTAGCGCATATTATCGGCATTCAGGGTAAAAAGTGTCTCCGAGGGGTCTAGACAGCAAAGATCCTCTTTCTTGGCGTAGAGTGGGCCTAAGTTCCAGTGCACTTCCCTATGCCACTTGCGATGGTGTCTTACATTAAATCATTTTGGTTCCTTCAGAGGTTCTTCAGGAGGCTGTGTAAGAAACAACACGCTGATGGTGTCCTCAGAGACAAAGGGGAGCACTTGAGCAGGCAGGGTCTGCCGGACATAAAAGAAGAGCCTGTCCATCCCGGGACTTCGGCTGCCCCATGCAAATCTCGGGCTGCAGTGAACAAACCTCCTTCAGGCGAGCATAAGGCAGCGTTTGTCATTCAACGAGCATGGCACAGGTAAAAAAGAGTTATTGTTTATGTGTCGGGCAAACTGTGTCAAACTCACGACAGTCTTCACGTGGCAGAAAAGACAACTCCCCTACTTCATGATATTTTTCTACCCGAGAAAAAACCCAGCTAGAGTGTCCATTAGGGGTCATTGTTGCAATAAATGGGTCACAGATGATGTTAGAATATCTGCACATTATAATCCACATTTTACAAGGTTACTTGCTCTTTGCAATGAGCTTAACATACCTCACATTGTTGTCTAGATGACAAAGGGTTTATATCTAGGGAGTGCCTTTAGTGGATTCAGATGAAGATTGACATGGGTGCTTGCAGGTATACTCGGCGTCGGCAGTTGGAGCGTATGCAAGAACGAATACAAGTGCTGTTCAGTGATGAGGTTCAGCGACAGGAAGCTCGACGCGAGTGGCAGCAAGGGCTGGCACATTTTCAACTTTTTACGGGTGTGTTACCTTCCCTGCGTTACAGACCCTAAGAACTCCAGGAGCTCTGCCGTAAGTGCACACTGCATACCTTCAATAATACCTTCAAACCTGAAGTGATAAACCAAATGAGGAAAGTCGGTGAGTTTGACCAGTCTTTGAGACCTCCAGACTTTGTAGATTTCATGGAATCAAAACCAGTCGTGTCTGGTTCTAGTCCTTTGTGCTTTCTGTATCAGGTTGCATGGGGTCGGGATGCAAGCCAAGCATCCCGACGTGCAGAACTGCACTTTTGGAGCGCTGCCAAATGTTGGGCAGTCTGAACTTGTTGCTCTAATACTAGTTACAAGATCTTGTTCACGTGAACAGGGCCACTTTGTACAGTTGAGCCCAGTTGCCTATATCAAACAGGGGTATTTCAGATTGTCTGTTTCAAACAGTCAAATATTGTCTTGAAAGTTTAGTGTAAAAGTATAAGAACTTTGTGGATCTGTATCAAACTCCGACCACCCGGGACATTCTATAGACGCTTTACAGCAGCTGTGCATGGGCGCCGCCATAACTGACCTTCAGTTTTTGTTCCCTCTTATTCCGTTCGCTTCACTTCATCATTACCACAGCAGGACAAGTTATTGCCATTTTAGATGCTACTGTGTTTTTGGGCCCAGCATAGGCCCTTGTGAAGACCCGTCAACGCCCGCTTCAGTGGCTCGGCATTTCGGTAAGACAAGAAAAGGGCGGCTATGGCGGCTCAATCTGGCGCGTGTGTAAAGCTTCTATACATCGAAGCAGGTGGCTTGCTCCCCCTGGTGGGAAATCATTCCCTGAATGCTGCCAACGCTACTCCTGCGATCGGCTCGTGCATGATGAGGCTGTGCAAGGCAAGATCATAGCGCGTGGCAGCAGCCACCAAGCCACACGAAGAAATGCGGGAAGTGTGCTTGCCTGTTGTTGGAAGTTTGCAGTGAAAAGTGCAAGGAAGCAGAGGGGAAAACCGACCCTCTGACTAGACCCCTTACCCACGAGAAAAAAAAAAGTAGTTTTAGCTGGTTGAGTGTGTCAACAACGGTTGTGCCATAGTGCTTCAAACACCTTGTTGATCTTTGTTCACCTTTTTCTTTCGCCTTTTATTACTATCTGATTTTATGCTGCCTTTATTTTTTGCTCGTTTGATTTTTTTTTATGAATGAAAAGATAGTGTTGTTTTATTTTTACGTGTCCCCTCTTTCTTTAAAATTCCGCTTTCTCTTTTTTTCATTTTTTTTTTTCATGTTTTATCGCTTGTGCTGTCAAAGTGGCGGCCACACGCGCTTGCAAGCATTGGTGCTTGGGCTTTTTGCCAACTACACTTTGACGAAGTTTTAAAATATTTAGCGGTTCTTGGCTGTACCATTTGGTAAGTTTCCGTTTGTCACATTCTTAGGTGATTATCGGGGATGCACGGATGTTTCATTTGGAGCTCGAATTAACATTCTTTTGTGTATTGAATTATTGATATATCTAACTATTTTGCGATACTCTTGGAATTTGATATATCCAGGTTTGACTGTAGAGTCTTCATTTCTGTCCTTTGGTCGTGCTATTCATAGGGCACCGCAGACTGCGTGGTTCTAACATGGTTCTAGGATATGTTTGTGCTATCAACTCAGCTCCACTCATACTCATGCGGAAGGTGCAACGTGATGCACGCCTCTAATTTCATCCAGAACTTGCTTTTCTAGTCTCAACTGCATTCGCTCGAAATCATACATTTTGTTTGATAGTGGTCTCGGGGCATGCCTCGGGTTGAGTGGTTTGCATTACTCCAAGTGGTGATTGACCTTGCCATGCTATTGTCACAGTAATTATAAGAACTTGAACCATGGAAGCAGTTCAGCAATTGTCCAGCACTTGAATTGGCTAGCATCATTATCAAGCCTGCCTCTTGTATGCTTCTCCTACTGGGGTGCAGACCAGTTACAGCTGCAGGGGCGGATTTATGGGTCAGGCCTGGGGGGAGGGGGGTAAGTATTCGGGCTGGCAGAGGGGGGGGGGGGGGGGGGGAAGGGGAGGGGGGAGAGGGAGGGGGAGGGGTCTGCTGAGATATGACGTTATGGTCTAAACATTGCCTAGATCTTATTTGTTGACCCAATATTTTCTACGTCACCAGAAACTAAACTTTTGGCTGGTGTATATCAATGATTTTATTAAAACAAAGTTGAGCTTGGAGAGCTTTGTGGGGGGGGAGTTGCCCCCCCCCCCCTCCCCCTAAGTTCACCCCTGTACAGCTGAGGTATTAAAGTGCACCGTGTCATTTTGTTAATTAAGAAATTCCCACTGCACAGAGTGGGACTTCACTGTTTCTCAAAGTATTTCGAGCCAAAGTACTTGGGAGGTCATCTTATTTGCTTAGTCCTATTTACTGGTGCCCAGGGATGGGCAGTATTTCAAATACAAGTATTTGAAATACATATTTTAAATACTTTGTGTATTTTGCATTTGTATTTAATTACAAATTGGGTAATGTATTTAATGTGTGTATTTAAATACTAAAACGTGGGTATTTCAAATACAATTGTAATTAAATACAATTTTGTGGGCGAAAATACATCCCTCAAATTTATTGTCACTGTCCAGAGCAGTAAGAAAGCTACGCTCCGCACCGAATGCAGTGTATCTCAATCAAGCACAAGCGTCTAGTGACTTTGTGATTACGGTGCTAGTCCAGGGCAAAAATAGTGATGAAATCGACGTTCACAGGCAGACTGGCTAAATAACTGCCTGTGACAACTTGTGATGCTTTCCAGCCTGATTTCCATCTATATTTTTGCCTGGAACATTCTAAATGCGCGGGTCGTCCAGATATTCGTAACTGATGCGAGTTGCAACAATACAAAATTATCTAGCTAGTGCTGCGCGTCTTGGTCGTCTCGGTTCTTTGTTGGACTATACCAAAATGTAATCGACAAAAAAAGCTGCTTGAAGCTCTTTACTTTTTCCACCTATTACGTCCAGGTTGATAACATTTTTTTTTGTGATTATATTGTTATTACGTTACTAGAGCCTCGCACACTATATAACTCCCGAGTGTGCGATGCAAAATTAAAATGAGATACCCAGAAACCTGTTGCAGATGCCCTAAAGTCGCTGACGCAAATTTTGAGGAATGTATTTGGAAAAGTATTTGGAGGAGACCAAATACATTTGGTTGTATTTGTATCTTGTATTTAATTGCTTTTTTGGAAAAGTAATTAGATTTGTAATTAAATACATTTTTGACGAAGTATTTTGTATTTGTATTTCGATACATATTTGCATGTATTTTGCCCATCCCTGCTTGTGCCTTAATGCCCGTTCACACACTTGCGTTTGCTTACGACCGAGTTCTTGTGATCTCCTGCAATGAGAGTAGAGTAACTGTATAGAGTATGCTTGCAGAGCCAGACTATCGCATTCCTTTTCCTTTCGCCGCAACTCTGTATTGGTGGAGAAGCGGTCACCCTTGCCAAGCTGGATCTAACCATCATGCAGGCAAGCGACCTTGCAGGCATCGAGTTTCGGGCGAAGGAAGTCTCTCGCTTTGCGTTTGTGAAATATACATCCTACACTAAAATGGAACTAACTGGATCATTCCCTGACCATTGCACATTATGTGTAGCCACTGGGTAAAGCATAATTGCATTGTTTTATAACACAAGCAATGTTTTAAAACATGTTTCCAAAATCTGGGAAGCAGACGATATGGAGGACGATTGCAGTGCTCGCCACTCTGATGCTCGCGCGGTGATCGTGACCGGCACATCCGGGACCTTGGACCAGGGAACAATGAGCAGCTACGGCATGCGATGGACGACATTTTCATTGGCCACTACATTCTACCGAGAGAATGGGGAGATAAATGACAGGACGGCACATGCACGGCATGTCACTGCAATATATCTTCTGCTCTGCACGCTGCAGCACACTGCCTCACATGCACCCCATCCGTGCCTCCAGGACTCTTGCAAAAGTGACATTCGCTTCCCGTAGTGCAGCTTGAATCTAACATGGCCGCCCTGGGCGCACCATTGCAATCAAGGAGGATAGAAGGGTAGGAGAGGTCATGATGGGAGCCGCGTAGCCTCCACAAGCCATGCTCTTTTGATGCCTCGTCTCTTTCTCATTTTCCTCCTTACTCTCCTCACTTACCATGCCAACGTGACAACATCACGTGACCGTAGCTAGCCTTCGATCTGTTAAAACCTACCGGACGGAGCGCGCGCAAGCCAGCAAGGAGTCCTTCTACAATCAACCATCCATCTCACACGTGACATGTCACGCGCACCAATTGCCAGAGAGATCTACGGTCACATTGGCCACAACATCGTTTAAACTTTTTATGACTAGGCTTCACCAATATTGCATAGTGCCCTCTCCTAGTACTTCTAACCTCCTTGATTGCAATACAGTTACTCTAGACAAGCTCTGGCACCATCTATGAGGTGACCTTGGAACTGCATTTTACTAGAGAGAAGGTTTTTCAGTATTTGTGACATCAAATGTATATATACTATCTATAATAAATGGTCGTTTATAATATTGTCAAAAACTTTTGAAAAAAAAATTCCACGAAAAAAAGAAAGGGAATATACAGTAATGACATGTGTTTCATGGCTACCCAATAGATGGCGCCAGAGGTCTCGTAGAGATCCCAAGAGGTTTTAAGCCTCTCGGTTGTCAACACAATTATGAGTCCTAATATATTGAGTAATTGTAAAATGACATAACATACCTGGTGCATTGGGACCACCTGCTCTGGAACCTTGTAAATTTGTTGTGGATTGGTTGGTGGTGCGAATGTTCATATTAAGGTACATCTGTATTATACAGAGGCTCCTGCATACATTCATTCACTGTTTATTAAAACGTTGACACCCATATACAAAGAAATCTCTTCAGTATTCACACCCAGGTTTCGGCTTCGGTGTTATATACAGTGACGGTCTCACGGGATTCCTCCAGGAGCAGCAAACCCTATTGAGGGCTAATTCGAGCTCCAAGGTCAGCAGCGCACAGCGTCGTATTGAAGGCGCTTATGTTTTTTGTTTTTTTTT